GGCTGTCTTTTATTTATTTTATTCACTGAATGTAATGTTTACTACTTATAATTTTTAATCAACTATTAAGCACTATTATAGACGCGTCATCACGTTCATTGGGTGCGCAATGGTTTTAGTTATGAAACTCTATTGTAAATTTTTAAAATTTAAAGTACTGGGGAAAAAAAAATGCGTTAATTGATAAAGTGATATAATATGGTAGGTAAAACACGGATATTTTAAATACTGCTGGGGGTTTTATAGGAGAGGCGTAGAGAGGGGGGGGGGGGACATATGTCCCCGGTTGCCGACCTAAGGGGGCGCCAAAGTGGGTTGGAAAAAAATTGCGGGGGGGGGGGTGGTGGAAATCGAAAGTTTGAGGGCGGTGGGAGGGTGCAAATCGAAAGTTTGAGGGGGGTGCAAATCAACAGTTTGAGCGGGGGGAATTTCAAACAAAAGTGGTGGAAATCGAAGGTCTGAACGGGGGGGGGGGGGGGGGGGGGGGTGAAAATCGAAAGTTTAAGGGGGTGGGGTGGAAATTGGAATTTTGAGGAGAGGGGGTGCAAATCGTAAGTTTGAGGGGGTTTGGGGAGTCAAATCGAAAGTTTTTCCCCGGGCGCCGGAAAGGGTCGCTACGCCTCTGTTTTGTAGTCATTCACTGTGTCAGACGCGTTCGGCGGCGCTCGGAAAGGGCGCGATTTGGCGCTACGGGCTAGACTGTGAGCAATGCCTTTATGATTGCACTTAAATTGTGTTTATGTTATGAGTGTTATGTTTGTTTTTTTCGTTTGTTTGTTTTTTGCGTTCGTTTATGTTGTGTTTAGTTTTGTTCTGTTCCCAAGTTGGTACATTTAAAAAAGATTTACCGTGGCGGAGCACGGGATGCAGCTAGTCTATAATATAAGCGGGCAAGTAGTGTGTCAGTCCTTCCTTCCGTCCGTCATCGCTATAGATTTTGGAACCATAAAAGTAAACATCGCACCATTTAGTGCTTTGCAGTGCATCGCATTGTCTTATTATAAATATTAGAGTAGGATCTGTTTATATAACGACATAGAGCTATTTTATAATTTCCACTGTTTGTACAATTTTGCATAACGTAAAGAGAATATTAAATACACGCACATTGCTAAAACATATTAAAAGTGTCAATGTCAAATATCGTTTTCGTTAATATTCCTAGAAAAGTGGATACATTTTTATAACATAATAACTGTAGGTTAGAAAAATCTAATTAAACTGTTTAGTAATTTTGCCAAGGGAGGTATTTTAAAAATAAATTGAACTCACGCTAAAAATGTGAATGCAGAATCTGCAAGAAGGAATAATTGTTGGAATAATATAATTAGCAAAATGTGAATGCAAATTATGCAGACGTGTAAGAGTACATTATTGTTGGAATATTATAATTAGCATTGATTGATAAAAGGCTATTTTTTATTTATTTTATTCACTGAATGTAATGTTTACTACTTATAATTTTTAATCAACTATTAAGCACTATTATAGACGCGTCATCACGTTCATTTGGTGCGAAATGGTTTTAGTTATGAAACTCTATTGTGAGTTTTTAAAATTTAAAGTACTGGGAAAAAAATGCGTGAATTGATAAAGTGATATAATATGGTAGGTAAAACACGGATATTTTAAATACTGCTGGGGGTTTTATAGGAGAGGCGTAGAGAGGGGGGGGGGGGGACATATGTCTCCGGTTGCCGACCTAAGGGGCGCCAAAGTGGGTTGAAAAAAATGTGCGGGGGGGGGGGGGGGGTGGTGGTGGAAATCGGAAGTTTGAGGGCGGTGGGAGGGTGCAAATCGAAAGTTTGAGGGGGGGGGATTTTCAAATCAAAAGTGGTGCAAATCGAAAGTCTGAACGAGGGGGGGGGGGGGGCGGGGGGGGGGGGGGGTTAAATCGAAAGTTTAAGGGGGTGGGGTGGAAATTGAAATTTTGAGGAGAGGGGGTGCAAATCGTAAGTTTGAGTGGGGGGGGGGGGGGGTCAAATTGAAAGTTTTTCCCCGGGCAACAGAAAGGGTCGCTACGCCTCTGTTTTATAGTCATTCACTGTGTCAGACGCGTCCGGCGGCGCTCGGGAAGGGCGCGATTTGGCGCTACGGGCTAGACTGTGAGCAAAATGCCTTTATGATTGCATTTAAATTGTGTTTATGTTATGAGTGTTGTGTTTGTTTTTTCTTTTGTGTTTTTTTTTCGTTCGTTTGTGTTGTGTTTAGTTTTGTTCTGTTCCCCAGTTGGTACATTTAAAAAAGATTTACCGTGGCGGAGCACGGGATGCATCTAGTCTATAATATAAGCGGGCTGAGCGTGTGTCAGTCCTTCCTTCCTTCTGTCATCGCTATAGCTTTTGGAACCATAAAAGTAAGCATCGCACCATGCTGTGCATTTCAGTGCACCGCAGTGTCTTATTGTAAGTAATAGAGTAGGGTTCGTTTATATAACGGCATAGAGCTATTTTATAAATGCCACTGTGTTTACTTTTTTGCATAACGTTATGAAAATATTAAATATTCGCACATTGCTAAAACATATTTAAAAAATCAATGTCAAATATCATTTTAGTTTATATTCCTAGAAAAAATGGATATATTTCCATAAAAGTAGGTCGAAAAAACTAATTAATTCAACTTTTTTTTGGTGGTAATTTTTTCAAGGGAGGTAATTTGAAAATATATTTAACTCAACAATAATTTAAGTTAATCTTTTTTTTATTACTACCGCATTGATTAGTCTATGTTAAGGTTCATAATTAAAAGAGAAAAATGTTAAGATTATTTATATTATTTTCTAATTAGTCTATGTTTTCTCAAAATCACTATTTTTTGTTTTTGTTTTTTGGTGTTAACAGATGGTGAAATTTTATAATTATAGTATAGAGAATGCTGGAAAGACTCTCTCTAGGCGCGGACGCCTGGGAAAAGCGTGTTTTTCGGTGGTAATTCTAATTACATTGCCAATGTGTTTTCTTAGAACCATAAAAGTAAACACCACTTGCCGTACATTCATTTGCATCGCATTGTTTTATTGTAATTTATGGAGTAGGATCTATTTATGTGACTTAAATTTTTAATGTTGGAAAGGCTCTCCTTGGGCGCGGACGCCTAAAAAAGCGTGTTGTTTGGTGGTAATTCTAATGTTGTGGTTGTGTTGTTTTTTTTTTTGGTTGTGTTGTGGTTGTGTTGTGGTTGTTTTTTGGTTGTGTTGTGGTTGTTTTTTGGTTGTGTTGTGGTTGTGTTGTGGTTGTGTTGTGGTTGATTTTTGGTTGTGTTGTGGTTGTGTTGTGGTTGATTTTTGGTTGTGTTGTGGTTGTGTTGTGGTTGTGTTGTGGCTGTGTTGTGGTTGTGTTTTTGTTGTGGTTGTGTTGTAGTTGTGGTTGTGGTTGTGTTGTGGTTGTGTTTTGTTTGTGGTTGTGTTGTGGTTGTGTTGTGGTTGTGTTGTGGTTGTGTTGTGGTTGTGTTGTGGTTGTGTTGTGGTTGTGTTGTGGCTGTGTTTTGGCTGTGTTTTGGTTGTGTTGAAGTTGTGGTTGTGTTGTGGTTGTGTTGTGAATGTGTTGTGGTTGTGTTGAAGTTGTGGTTGTGTTGTGGTTGTGTTGTAGTTTTGTTGTGGTTGTGTTGTGGTTGTGTTGTGGTTGTGTTGTGGTTGTGTTGTGGTTGTGTTGTGGTTGTGTTGCGGTTGTGTTGTGGTTGTGTTGTGGTTGTGTTGTGGTTGTGTTGTGGTTGTGTTGTGTTTGTGGTTGTGTTTTTTGTGTTTGTGTTGTTTTTGTTTGTTTTGTTCTGTTCCAAAGTTGGTACATTTAAAAAAGATTTACCGTGGCGGAGCACGGGATGCAGCTAGTTAAAATATAAAATGGTAAGTTCATTTCAATCGGGTGTACAACCCAGTAAGAAACGAAATTCATACATTGATTTCTTGGAACGACAGCTTCTGTTGGTAGCTACTAAGGGGGTTTTCCCGATTTTTTCCGTGAGTTTTAAAACCGATACCCAAACATGGCCGATTTTGTTTTCGGTAATCAAATCTTTAACTCAGCTTTAATTAGTCTAGTCCATGGAGATGGTTTCATGAGTCAATTAAAACACGTGGAACTTATCGTCTTGGTATTTTTAAAAACCAACCTGCAGCTGTTGCTGATTTGACTAAATTCAACATAACAAGTGTCAGATCCATTGCACATTGGTTTCACTTGGCAAAGACATTTAAAAATAAATTAATTAATCACTGGTGTGTAGGAGTTGTTTCGATAAAACTAAAAAAAAAAATCAGCACTATCGGTTGAAAATATTTGAATCTGGGCCAACATAATTAACTATTGGCATACTTAAATCAAGCTTGCTTTAGTATTACTTGAAAGATGGAGGGGAGAGTGTGTCGAAAGCGAAAACTACATTTTCACTTCAACCCCCTCTAGAAATATTTGCCTTCAAAATTAGCATACATTGGAAAACAGGGCAAGCCACCAAGATCCCCCCAACATTGGCTGTCTTTGAGTTCTTCACGTACTTGCATTCCACAAATACTCGTCATTACTTTCTCTTACTCTGGGGATTATGAAGAGGTCTACAGTAACATAACGCATTTTAAACGATGCCTCAACATACTATTTTTTATACCCGATATATGTGTAGCCTATTTTTTTTCTTCATCAGCTCACAATTTTTTTCAGTAATAAAAAACTTTTAGATTTAGGCTATCTAAGACAGAAATAATGATAATATATTTCTTTTAAAAACGGTCAAGTGTTTTTGTTGCACGCTAAATACATCGGTAAATTTTGTTAACAAACACGAATCAATCTGACGAAATATGTACATTCAATACATTTAACACGTGGAACTTGCAAGTTGGCGAAGCAAATCAGCAAACGTCTAGTCATCGTAGTCAATGAAGTGGCTGGGAATTCCCACCAAGGCTTAACTACCAAGGTTAACCTGCAACCAATCGCAAAGAGGTGTTTAATGCACGTGAGTATTTCGACCAATGAAAAATCAAGGTTTTACTAAGCACCTATTTATAGAAGCTGGTGCAATCAAGCCGCTAACAGAGTTGAAGCGAAACTAAGCGAGAGAGGACGTACATACAATTCTTGTGATTAATTTATTTGCTATTGCTGTCAATTTTTCTTGATTGATTTAAAAAATGACATTACCAGACACAATGGACAAAGAAAACAGTTTGGACATTAGGTAAGTTCATTTTTTAGCTTTGTTTTAAAGATTGCATTATATAACTATCTACCATGTATCGGTAACTAGGCTAGGTTGTTCCGTGCAAATCGTTGGCACTACGTATTTCGTCAGATCACTGGCCTGGTAGTAAAGTGCATAGTTCAAAGTGCAACGAAGTCCTCGTCCAATCACATTTGCATACCTCTGGTATTTATTTCCATTGGCGAAGAAAAGCATCGGAAAATTATAATATACATTTTAGCGGAATTGAAATAAACAAAGGTCACGTGTACTTTTATCCTTTGTTTTGGTGGTGAGCTGCAACGCCGTCCATTTTTAGCCTCAAGGTTAGACAGTGACGTTGCAAAAAATGATGACACCGCGAACGTAATTTCCATCAGCAGGGAGCATTGACCACATCTTGTGACTCCGTGTTAAAAAAACATCTGAACTGGTGTAAACTATAAACTATAAACACTAAAGAAAGAAGTTTGTTGCCCCCAGCACGTGAATGTGTACCGGCGTAGAGACGTTGCACATAGAGTCTAGATCTACTATTATTAATATTGGGCTATATAATTTGTTTTACTAGACTAGGTCTAGCTAGACAAGTCTGCTAGACTAATAGTCTAATCACTAATCATACTACTTACTATTATCAATATCATACTGACCCCGCCAATAGATCTACTTAATTATTAAATATTAATAATTAATCAAATAGTACTTAAACATTGTCACTATACTATTCTACTAGTCTAAGGTAACTATAGTTAGGCCTAGACACTTAGGGCCTACTATTGCATGTAGATCCAGTAAAAAGATCCTATCTAGAATTTATATCTGTTGATAACTTATCTTCTAAAATTAATTATTAAAAACACCCAAGACCAAAACGTAGATCTTTTCAAAATCCTTTTAGTTTTAGTTATATCTAGATACTAGATGTAGCTATCTAGATAATGTCTGCAAGCAAATCAGATCTGATATGGATCTAGACTAGACTAGCCCAACTACTAATACAATAAAAATAATAAAGTTTCATGTATTCCAATGATGAAAATTTACTTCAGTATTGCAAAAAAAAAAATTAAAAAAATAAAATCAATACTTACATTCTATGTAGACTTAAGCTAAAGATAAAGCAGCCTATGTTGTGATATTTCATTAAACTTTTTTAAAAATAAATTTGTATTTTGTTTTAACAGAAAATTAAAGGCCATGGGCCACACTATCAGAACCTGTGTAAAGCAAGCAATAAGGCGCCAAGGCCTCACATGTGGAATGAAAGCCTGTGGGGAGCTGCTGCAAAGGTAACTGTTTGATATTATTTTAGTTAGTAGAGGCAGACCTAGAGTGACACTATATATTTACTATTAGACTAAGGCTCTAAGCTACAACATGAATGAAGTGAAGATCTACTTTGGAGCTTGCATTACTGTTGCTAACCTTGGTGTAGCAAAGTGCATCTTAACTGTCACAGTATGTGCAGGGCAGTCATTATCACCAGCTGATATGCTGAGTTAGAGGTTATGCAGCCAGAATTATGCAACATCATTCTGTACTCTATCAGATATAGGTCACACAAGCATGTGATGTTTTGCAAGAGCTTTTCTCAAAAAATTACCTACAGACAGAACAAACTTATGACTTATAGATTTTTAAAACTGTTCAGCTTATCAATATCAAATACTAATTGATTATAAAATTACTTGTCTTAACAAGCTGATTAATCTATTTTTCAGTAACCCAGGCAATGTGATGATGTGTGTTCTACCAACTGATTGTAACAACATCAGCATCCACATTCATCAGACCCTGATTCAAGCCTTCTGTAAAGAAAACAACATTCTGGTTGTTGAGCTCAAGGACGATACAGCATTGGCCACTCTTATATCTAAACTTTCAGAGGGAAGGTATGGCCATAAAGTAAATGGGAGACCAGATGACACCAGCTGTCTCCTTCTACAGGTAAATTATATTTTTTATTTAGATAAACCTCAAATTTAATTAGTTACAAGAATTTTAAAATTTTATAATTTAAAAAAAAAACATTTCAAAACATTTTGATGTTAGAGTAAAATAGTTTGATTATTTATTTAATGTCTTTGTTAAATATTAAAATAAAATTAATTTCAGATTTTAATTTAGAAATGATCTTTGTTTCTCAGTACCCCAAAAGAGGACCCAGCAAAGAGGATGAGCTTGTGTTCAAATTTTATGAAATGATGATGAAAGGCTCCCGCCCATTGCCTCATCTGGCACTGCCCGATTGACAATAATTATTTGGATTTTCCCTGAACCAAAAAATTAAAAAAAGGTTAATACACTTTTAATAATTTATCAAGCAAGATTACACATGTGGGTGGTTATTTGTGTTACACATTTTGTAAAATGGTTGTCGTGGAGAGTTAATTAAAACTGTTGTTTGTTGATATTTTCAGACTGACGCTGTCAGCAGTGTAAATGTCAGCACTGTACAAATCCCATCATTTCATCTACTTGAAGGGGTTGCACAGAACTACTCACCCACAGGAACTGCCATTCATGTTCATGATTGGACTTGAAAAAAAAAACAATTCATTGTGAGAGGGGAGAGAATTCAAGGTTAAAAAGACTTAACCAGAAGTTGTTTGATTTACAATTTATTTCAAAGCTGGAAAAATTGTTGTGAAATCTGCAATACTTGTAGCCGGAAAGAAAGGCTATAATTGGTTACTTAATGAACACAGTTGGCTTATGCCAAGGACACAGCTAATTTCAGACGTTATAATTAGTAAATGTCATTTGTACAATTTTTCACTCCCAGTTAGTGAATTTTTTCTATATGCTGTACTTTTTTGGAGCTTTTTAGCATTCTTGTAAAAAAAAACAATTGTTTTGAAAAGTTAATTTGATTAAAATACTACTTTCTGAAATGATAGTAAAGGTAAAAAATGTAAAAGCCGAACTGCTTTTTGTACATTATCTGTTAAAAAGGTGAAACTTTTTTTGTTTGTTTACTCATTTTCTGCCTTCCACCACTGCTGAAGCTGATAATTTACTTATTTAGGCTAGACAATAATCTTAGATCTAATCATTGTATTATTTAGTCAACAGATGTATATAATTTAATATGTTTTGTAAATATGTTACAAGTTTTGGCAATGTTTCCATATTCTATTAATTACATTTTGGAATTTCAGTTATGATTTTAATCTAAAAAATATTCATCTTGAATGTATGAATTGGAAATAAATAAAAGATAGTAAAATTATAAACAAATATGTTGTTTGTTGTTTATCTCTTTTTTTTTTATTATCGAATTCATTTTTTAGGCATCCAAGATTTAGTCAAGCCTAGATTTAACTAAATGTCTTGACTAGTGAAGTAATTAAACAAGATGCTACAAATGAAAATCATTGCTGCATTTAAAGAAAAAATAAATAGTACTTTCAGAAAGACAAAATGTACCACCAGATGTTCATAGTTAAAAACATAACCATGGTTTAGTTACATCAAACACAGCCTTGATTTAGATAGACCCAGCCAGGTAAAACACAGGATAAGCCAGAGGACTCACTGGCTGAGCACATTTCTTTAATGCTACTGTTAAAATAGAAATCAGAATTTTTTAAGAACTGTCTCACAAAAGTGACAACAGCAAACCAAATGTAGTTGGATTAAATTTTTAAAGTGTACACCTACAAAGGTTAATCACATTCATGAAATAAATAAAACTCAGGACTGACATACAGTGAAAGGCAATGTGAAACAAAAAATCAATTCATTCTTCTATACTTCTATATATATGTATAGAAGTAGAAATGACCCTCCACAATGGTTTGAGACTTCACACCATAAGATATTTTTAGCACAAGCCAAAAACAAGACAAGAGGGCTTAGGACATTAATTTTGGGGTATTTAGCTATTTTAAATTATTTAAACATACATTGAAGTTATTTTAAAAATCAAACATTGAGTTGCCAGTGTCTTATGAAAGTAGTAATACCCTAAATTGGTTGGTATAAAAAGTACAAAATAGATAAGTTCACATTTCTATGAATCTTATTTTGGATATACAGTTAGATTAGTACAACTCAGGGACTATTGATTTGAGTCTTTAACAGTTTTCAGATTAACTTATATTGAAAGGTCACATATTAGGAAACAAAATAAAACCTTTCGTAGTGTGATTATTTAAATTCATAGCTACTCTAGCCTGAGGGCTGATACTCTTAAGGGTTTACTTGAATATACCATCTATACTTATTGAAAGAAAATTCCCCCCAAACTGTGTTATAATGCTTAACTAGTGATTGTTTATGCAAGATATTCTCACTTGTGTCTACATATTCACCATGTGTTTACTGGCTACACTGGGCTACAATTTTTAAAAAGCTTGCTGTCAACTTTTTCATAAGGTGACAAACAAAATTAACCTAAAAAACATGCAACACTTCTACAAAGATATTTTTTAACAATACACTGGGTAATGACACCATTAAATTTAGTTAAAACTAAACATCTCATTTACGGCTAAATTCTTAATAAAAAATAATAATCAACATTTGTTTAATCACTCAAGGGCATTTTATTTAATTTGCTAATAAACACATCTGAATGCAGTGAAGAATATACATCAAGAAAAGTGCATTAGAGTCTTGTATTATGAAAATCTTGCTTCCAAACAAACTCCTCTTTATAAGAGTTGCTAATTGCACAGTTGTCCTTGCATGTGTAAGCACACACAATTCCCCAGTCAAGGCTGGCATCCAAACGGTCAACAGATAAAAAATTGAGCAGCTGAGGCATCACCTGTGAGAAAAACAACCAACCGTTGATTACTAATATTAGTGTGGAAACTAAACAACGTAACATATTGGAACAGTACGTCTGATTTTAAAGAACAACAAAATAACCAGTAGTGAGAAAAATAGCTTACAAGTGAAGTTTAAACATAACAGTTTGACTTATTTTCTCCTCGTATTACCCTACGTTCAGTTCCCTATTGCCAACTAATTATTTTGCCTTGTAAGCAAATCTCATAATTTAAAAATAAAGTGCAGTACTTTTGTTTGTTTAAATTGGTAGTAATGTAGAAAATTAACGAGTGAAATAGAATAAAGATGTAGAAAAATTATAGACTAAACGTGCTAATAGCATTCATCAGCCATAATATCAATTTAATTTTAGTCGGGGCATCTGAAGTCTTAAAGTTTGACAAACAGGACTAGCTATGTTCTATGTAACCACTCTGTCAGATTCAGGTTATAGTTTATCACATAGAATAAAACCATCTTAGTTAAATATTTTCAAAGTAATTATCAGAATCGTCTAAATCTAATTGAAATTGGGAATTCATTGACATTCTGTCTAAAATGTTATGTCTACAACCAGCTGTCTTAGCCTGCAAGATGAGGTTATGGCAGGTCGACAAGTTGTGTTTTCAACCTGCACACAAAAAAAACTACAGAGATGTACATTTTTAAAATTTAAAAAGTTGAAATATTATTGACTGTTGCTCTGTCTGCTGCAAAAGGTAAAAAATACTTAATTTTGAGATTGTCAACACTACCCCTTTGATGGAAATAAACACAAATGAGTAGGTGGGAACTGAATTAAATGAGAATTATACAGCAATACAGTTAAACTATACATTAACTCTATAGGTACTTTAAAAAAAAAAAACCCAGTGAAAAACAGTTTATTGGCGAATTTATTTAAAAAAAATTATGTTATATGTACCTGAAACTCAAAAATTCTTGGGGCACCACATGAACAGTTAGGAATATCTTCAGGTGAAGGCTTGTTATAGGCTGACACCCACAAAGGCTCACCGCCTCTACTGTATCTTAAAACCTAGTCAAGTAAAAATGTACATAATAAAATAGATTTACAGTCCAAGGGAGACAATCTTGTATTTATTTTAACAATTTCTTCTTTGCATGGCTGCAATAATAATGGACAATAATTTTGAATACACAGATAAAATAACAGTATATTTCTTATATGCAAAGTTTTACTAAAGCAAATAACTTTATATTTAGTATAAAGTAATAGATTTTTTTAACTTTTAAAAACACACATAATAATACATTTTGTAATAAAAATAACATGGCTAATCTTTGAAAATTCCTTTTTAAAATTATTTCAGTTTACTGGTAATTTGTTGGGAAAAACAAATAGTAACATTAACCTGTGTTGGTTCATAGTCCACCCTGTTTTTAAATTTTAGAAACAGTTTATCATCTTCAGTCTCAGCTTTGGCAGACTGTTCTAAATCTTCGGCCTGGTATTTCTCATCTAGACCTTGCAGCTGTGGTGACCTCATGAGCTGCTCATATTCCAGAAGTCGTTCTTCATCACTCTTACTGTTATTGCTGTCCCCCTCCGTGTACTCTTCATCTTCAGTCACCAGGTCAAATTCTTTAAAAAGCAAACTAGACACATTCTTTTCTTCTGGAAATAAAAAAATGAAAGATTAATATCTTTATCAAAGCAAAAATTAATTTGAATACCTAAGTAAATCAAGTTGAAAAAATATATTAGTTTGGGCCTCTTCTCTAATGTTTTTAAAATAATCAACCAGTCAAAAAATTACAGCTTATGTTTTAAGAACCAAAAACAGCTAGAGAGTAATACGTAGCAGTTGTTAGCATAATAATATGTTAAAAATTAAATACATTACTTAAATGTTGTACTAGTGATACATGGGTCTAATAAATAGCATAATTTGAGTGTGAACGAAGTAGCTTTGTAAATGTAAGCTAAAATGTAAACAAATTTCAATGGGTTTGCTAAAAGCACATTAAATTATTTTCAACACTCTAGACTTAATAATATTATAACCCCAATGGTTAAAATAATATTTATAACTGTGAATAGGGTAGATCAAGTTTGTTTTTGTAATGTATGTTAAGCCAATCCCTGTTTAATTTTCTATAAACCAGTGTCTGAGAATAGGCTAAGGCTATTCCCAGTCGGGTATTATTTCATGTAATATACAACTGGGCATAAAATATGACAGTAAGTAACTATTGCATTTATTGTGACTGGGGAATTTTATGAGGATTTAGAGAGTAGGGCTATTTTCAAATAAGAAAATAACTAATTATGTACTTAGGCTTAAAGAAAGCCTAACTATTTCTGGTTAATAATTATGCATTAATTTTGTAGGGCCTACGTAATAGTGCTATCCAATTACCATTTCAAAATTAAGATAGCTTAAACATAAGGTGAAATAGTTTTAATCAGTTATTAATACTATTCATGTTTACATCATAAGTTTTTACTCATAAGCTGACTTAGCAATGCCGGCAAAAATCTAGGAACCGTGACTTTCTTTCTACAAATATGCTTGCAATGCAATTTGATAACAAGTTATTAGAAATTATTACAATTAGGCTAGTCCTATGCAATTTGAATTGTTTATTACAAAAAGCAGTCTCTCTTTCATGAATAACGGATAATAATTCAAGTTGGGAATTAAAAATGAATTCCTATGGAAGCAAGCATCCGATCGATTTGCACCAAGAGCTCAATTTGACTTGAGACTATCAACACATTTTTGTTTATAATTTTACCTAATTGTGAATCTTGCGAGCAACTCTTTTTATGACCATCTTTCCAGTCATAGACTTGATGTTCTTTACTGCAGTAGTACGTTTTCTTACATTGAGAACATTTTTTGTTTCCTTTTATTCCACAAACTTGACAAAGTGTGTGATAATGACCAGCATGGGGGAATTTATTCAAATCCTCCTCCTTACTGATTTCTTCTGAAGGTGGATCTTTGCTATAAAAAGAATTTACCAAAGACAGCTGTGAGCGAAATAATTTAAAATTAGCAGCATTCCCTGCATCACAGCAAGATGCGTTTGGGCATACAAATAAAAACAATGTCCGATGAAAAGTGTCATCTCTCATTTGTAGCGGTGCGTAGACTTGCATTAAGAAAATTGTCATTCCGTTGCATTTTAGGCACCTCAACACATCCGGCTCAGGAAGTGGGGACAGAGACAGCCAGGATGGTTTACCACCTATTTTACTTGGGAAAAAATGGCTACATAACAATCGCGGGTCCTGATCATCTTCTGCGAATCCTAATTTCACACAACATTCCTGCGTGGTGGACGCCATACTTGTTTATACAAGGTCTAAACTTAAGGGCAGCAATGATTAAAATAAAACGAAATTATAAAACTGAGTTCATTCCCCTTAATATGGAAAATATGGAAAATAAAAATGCTGATAGGCCTACTGATAATTTCAATTAATTTGAAGATGATCCATTTGGCTTTTTAAAATAGTTAATAAATAATATACTTAACTCTTTCTTAAATTTTCATCTTAATCAGCCTTTACCATACCTTAATTGTTTTGCACATTTGTACAAAATGCTAAATTCTCATTTTCTCTAATTTATTAGCCGTGTCCTAAATTTGGAAACACCATGTCAATGACGTTGTTTAGATCTAGATTCTATGTCTAGATCTGTAAAATGTATGGTATAGTTAGGCTGGGCCATAAGCGTCTAACTCAAACAATCAGATAGCGGCGACAGTATAAAGAATTAGCAATTATTATCACACGTTATTTGCTAATAGGTGTTTGTCTCTTGCTTTAAAAAAAATTACTCTTGTAATTAATACGACTAAAATAGAGCAGTTTACTCTTTAGCCTATCAAAAATCGTATGGGCTTTTCATTAACGCCATCATTACTAGGGGGTTTGAACACGCCCGAAGTGCGTTATTACAACACATCGATTTTCTAAAAGCGAAATCCCTCATTAGTATCCATCTGTTTGATGGGCAAGGGGTCATCGATAGACGACACTAAAAGGGAGTAGGGGGGGGGGGGAGAGACAGGGGGAGGGGTTGGAATTTTGTGACGAGGTGGAGACCCGAGGTGAGGGGTCATATTAGAATTAGAAACACAATTTTAGTCGCATTTTTAAACTTGTAAGAAAATTGGAATAGAAATATAATAATATACTCTATGGTGACCGAGCTCATAAATATTTTAGGGAGAAATCGATGTCTTAAAACCAAAAAACAAAACTGCATTTTAAGGTGCGAGTCTGGGGGGGGGGGGGGGGGGGAAGGGAAGAGGTTTCTGTAGCGTAGGTTAAGGTGTGACGTAATTACGTGCTTGTGTGTGTGGGAGGGGGGGAGGCTGTTTGTTGTGTGTGATCATGTGTGACGAAGGGGAGGGGGAAGTAAAAATCTTATGATTCTCACTTGCATTTAATGTGTGTGTTTGTGTGTGTGTGTGTTTGTGTATGTTTGTTTTTGTTTTATCTGTACATATCAGTTCCTGCATTTATATGCATCTAACTTACCTGCACTCACCATGCTTTGGGTGTATGAAAATTATTTGTAACTACTAGCACCTGTGTTACGTGTGCATGCGGTTTTCCTGTAGCTATAATTGATTATGCCTAAACACATACACACGCACACACACACACGCACGCACACATCCCCACACACGCACGCACGCACAAACACACACACACACACACACACACACACAGACACACAAAAGCAACGACTGTAGCTGTTACTCAACGGATGATGTATCAGCTCTTTTGGTTGAGGCAATAAAAGTCAAAGCTGTTGTCATAAAACACACTCACACATACGATAACACCCACCAGCACCTGTCGCACTTTCTTCAGCTTCATTCAAAGTTACGTCCCTTTAGCGTTGTCTCCCTTACAACGAACATTAATTCATTGATTTTTTTTTCGGTTAAATATATAAGAAAAAGGACTGGGTTTGATGGCAAGTGTTATTGCACCAGCAGATAGGTCATTCAAGGGAGCTCGGACATATAAATTACAATAATGATTTTCTGCTTTGTTTATAAATATAGATGAAGTACTTTTTTTTAAAAATTCCGTGATATAAATCAAATGTGAGATCCACCGAAAAGGTAAGTTTTTAACACAATCCATCACTTCATTCAATAGCCATTAAAAAATTAAAATTTTCATTTTTTGTTTAAAAAAAATGAAATATAGATTTATATTCCGTTATAAAATCGTAGATACTTGAGGGAGGATATATTTTACACCAAATTTTAACGCTTTTATTAGTTTGTATAAAAATGAACAAATAAAAAAATAATATAGACCTCACGTATGGTATGCTGAGTAATAATGGTTTGGATCTCAGCAAAAGAAAGATAGCTAAAATATTTACTGATGTCACTATTCTTTTCTGACTGGCTTTACGGTAGAGATTTACAAGACGTAAATGAACAAAGAGAGGTGGGAGTAAGGGGGAGGGGGTAAATTTTTTTCCAGGCATCTCTGGGGGGCACCTTTAAAATACATTGTTTAAAGATTATTTTTATTTTTGCCTTATAATTCTTAAAATTCTCTTCCCCTCCTCCTATACAGATTTATCACGACCAGTAAATAACGTAACAGCTGTATGCAACATTGCTGTTCATCTCCGTAAAATCAACAACAACATCAGAAAGTGCATTCAATTCACCGTCAAACTTCCGTCTCGCCCTACAAATGGTTCATTTCCACGTCAAACACATCAGAATGGACAAATTCAAACTCGTGTTTTCCGTGACGTTATTCGTCTCCATGATGGCTTTGATCTGCTTCTGTATCTCCACCGTCAACGATACGCTTCAAAAACTCGAGGTCTACCGGCAGCAGTACCACGGATCCGGCTGGGACTTCCACCGGAAGGTCTTCTGGTCAGACTCGGAGACCAAAGAGGGAACACACCTGAGCGGGGAGGCGTCCGACTACGACGCGGCCAATTTCGAAAAAGAATACAAACTAGCCGCTTCTAAACTTAACATTGAAATTCCGGAAAACGAAGAAAAAATATCCCGACTCCCGCATTGTATTATCGTTGGTGTTTCGAAATGTGGGACGCGCGCGCTTTTGGAGTACCTGGATTTGAACCCATACGTCACGGCTGTACCTCGCGAAATAAATTTCTTCAACAACGACTCGTTGTACAAAAACGGATTAGAGTGGTATCGACAGGAAATGCCGGCGTCCTACTCGAACCAAATCACAATCGAGAAGAGTCCGGACTACTTCGAGTGCCCAGAGTGCCCGCGGAGGATTAGCGCCATGAATAAGACGATTAAGCTAATCATCCTCCTGCGAGATCCCGTGGAGCGTCTCATCTCCCAGTACATGCAGTTCGTGGACAAGTACCAAAACACAGACCGGAAGTTGCCTCCCTTTGAACAGTGGGTGCGGGATCCCAAAACGGGAGAGCTTAACACGAGAATACCTTCGCTACAGGTGAGCATCTACGCCGATCATATCCATAACTGGTACTCGTATTTCCCGCGCAAGCAAATTCTTATCGTGGACAGCCATAAGTTAACCAAAAGTCCGTTGACCGAACTGGCGAAGGTCGAGTCATTCCTCGGCCTTGACCCATTTCTCTCGGAAAAAGACATATATTTCAACGAAACGAAAGGGTTTCACTGCTTAAGGAATCGCTACACCGGGAAAACCCGTTGTTTAGGACGCACCAAAGGTAGGCCTCACATCGAGGTGCAGAAAGAAGTTCTACACGCACTGTACAATTTTTACAACCCACACAACGAAAGGTTGAAAAATTTACTCGGCTACTGGATGTCCTGGTTTTGATGTTCGTGTTGTTACATAAGGATATTGAAGGTTTTGATGTTCGTGTTGTTACATGAGGATATTGAAGGTTTTGATGTTCGTGTTGTTACATGAGGATATTGTGGTGAAGGTTTTGATGTTCGTGTTGTTACATGAGGATATTGTGGTGAAGGTTTTGATGTTCGTGTTGTTACATGAGGATATTGTGATGAAGGTTTTGATGTTCGTGTTGTTACATGAGGATATTGTGGTGAAGGTTTTGATGTTCGTGTTGTTACATGAGGATATTGTGGTGAAGGTTTTGATGTTGGTGTTGTTACATGAGGATATTGTGATGAAGGTTTTGATGTTCGTGTTGTTACATGAGGATATTGTGATGAAGGTTTTGATGTTCGTGTTGTTACATGATTATATTGTGGTGAAGGTTTTGATGTTCGTGTTGTTACATGATTATATTGTGGTGAAGGTTTTGATGTTCGTGTTGTTACATGAGGATATTGTGGTGAAGGTTTTGATGTTCGTGTTGTTACATGAGGATATTGTGGTGAAGGTTTTGATGTTCGTGTTGTTACATGAGGATATTGAAGGTTTTGATGTTCGTATTGCTTACATGAGGATATTGTGATGAAGGTTTTGATGTTCGTGTTGTTACATGAGGATATTGTGATGAAGGTTTTGATGTTCGTGTTGTTACATAAGGATATTGTGGTGAAGGTTTTGATGTTCGTGTTGTTACATGAGGATATTGTGGTGAAGGTTTTGATGTTCGTGTTGTTACATGAGGATATTGTGGTGAAGGTTTTGATGTTGGTGTTGTTACATGAGGATATTGTGGTGAAGGTTTTGATGTTCGTGTTGTTACATGAGGATATTGTGGTGAAGGTTTTGATGTTCGTGTTGTTCGTGTTGTTACATGATTATATTGTGATGAAGGTTTTGATGTTCGTGTTGTTACATGAGGATATTGTGGTGAAGGTTTTGATGTTCGTGTTGTTACATGAGGATATTGTGGTGAAGGTTTTGATGTTCGTGTTGTTACATGAGGATATTGTGGTGAAGGTTTTGATGTTCATGTTGTTACATGAGGATATTGTGGTGAAGGTTTTGATGTTCGTGTTGTTACATGAGTATATTGTGGTGAAGGTTTTGATGTTCGTGTTGTTACATGAGGATATTGTGGTGAAGGTTTTGATGTTCGTGTTGTTACATGAGGATATTGTGATGAAGGTTTTGATGTTCGTGTTGTTACATGAGGATATTGTGGTGAAGGTTTTGATGTTCGTGTTGTTACATGAGGATATTGTGGTGAAGGTTTTGATGTTCGTGTTGTTACATGAGGATATTGTGATGAAGGTTTTGATGTTCGTGTTGTTACATGAGTATATTGTGGTGAAGGTTTTGATGTTCGTGTTGTTACATGAGGATATTGTGATGAAGGTTTTGATGTTCGTGTTGTTTACATGAGGATATTGAAGGTTTTGATGTTCGTGTTGTTACATGAGGATATTGTGATGAAGGTTTTGATGTTCGTGTTGCTCGTGTTGTTACATGATTATATTGTGATGAAGGTTTTGATGTTCGTGTTGTTCGTGTTGTTACATGATTATATTGTGATGAAGGTTTTGATGTTCGTGTTGTTCGTGTTGTTACATGATTATATTGTGATGAAGGTTTTGATGTTCGTGTTGTTACATGAGGATATTGTGGTGAAGGTTTTGATGTTCGTGTTGTTACATGAGGATATTGTGGTGAAGGTTTTGATGTTCGTGTTGTTACATGAGGATATTGTGGTGAAGGTTTTGATGTTCGTGTTGTTACATGAGGATATTGAAGGTTTTGATGTTCGTGTTGTTACATGAGGATATTGTGGTGAAGGTTTTGATGTTCGTGTTGTTACATGAGGATATTGTGGTGAAGGTTTTGATGTTCGTGTTGTTACATGAGGATATTGTGATGAAGGTTTTGATGTTCGTGTTGTTACATGAGGATATTGTGGTGAAGGTTTTGATGTTCGTGTTGTTACATGAGGATATTGTGATGAAGGTTTTGATGTTCGTGTTGTTACATGAGTATATTGTGGTGAAGGTTTTGATGTTCGTGTTGTTACATGAGGATATTGTGATGAAGGTTTTGATGTTCGTGTTGTTCGTGTTGTTACATGATTATATTGTGATGAAGGTTTTGATGTTCGTGTTGTTCGTGTTGTTACATGAGGATATTGTGGTGAATCTAATGTAGAAAATATGTTTTGATGTATTAAGTGAAATATTTTGGTGAAGGTTTTAAATAGCTTGTTGTGTAAATCTAATTTAGACTACGTGTTTTAATATGTAAAGTGAAATAATTTGGAGGAGGTTTTAAATAGTTTGTTGTGTAAATCTAATTTAGACTACGTGTTTTGATGTGTAAAGTAAAATATTTTGGTGAAGGATTTTATGTCCATGTGTACATCTAATGTTGTAAACATGTTTTGATGTATTAAGTAAAATATTTTGGTGGAGGTTTTAATGTATTTGTTCTGTGAAACCTATGTAGAATACATATTTTGATGTGTAAAGTAAATATTTTGGTGGAAGGTTTGATGTGTTTTTGTGAACGTTTAATTTTGACAATATGTTTTGATGTGTTAAAAATAATTATTTGGTGAAGGTTTTGATTAGCTTATTGTGTAAATCTAAAGTACATTAGATGTTTTGATGTGTAAAGTAAATCTTTTGGTAGAGGTTTTGATGTGCCTTGTTTGTGTAAATCTATAGAAGAACACATGTTTTAATGTGTAAATGCAAACTATTTGCTAGGATGTTTTAATGTGCTTATTGTTTAAATCTATCTAGTAGTAGAATATGACTACACTTTTTTTATTAGCCGGCTGTATAAATCTGTGTAGAATATGTTTTGGAGTGTAAAGTAAAATATGTTGGTGTGAGTTTTGATGTGCTTGTATAAATCTAATATAATCTAGAGAAAAAAACTCGCTTTGATTTATAAAGTAAAATGTGCGTGATATTTATGTTCAAATATTTCGTGAAAATGTCTTAACATTTTTTATTTGTGAAACAAAGCGACGAAAATGTGTACCATTTTTTTTAGTTGTCTTATAACGCACAAGAATGCAAAGCACAGTATAACTGAGTTTCGGTTAATGTTAAGGTGACTCTAAATACATTGGATAGCACTTTGAAAGATGTTAACAAAATATGGCTTAAGTATAACATCGCTAATACATAACAGTTTTAGTATAGTGTATCTCCAATGACTACAAAAGTTATATTTATATAAAAGATGTAGATCTAATTAAAAATAGCTTATAGGGCCTACGGCTTATACTGAGCGATACTGTTACGGAAGGACAATATAGTGAATCAGGTGATTGGCCGAAAAACATTTGATTTTTTAGAAAATCACGTCTATAAGTTTTATGAAATAAATCTTAAATATAAATTTAACTAAAGCAAAAATAATGATAATATAGGTGATGGAAAAAAAGGTGTACCCACGTCAAGCTAGCCAGTAATAAAACTCAGACATATATATTTTCCCGTGCTATAGTCAGCAGTAAAAAAATCCTTTACTATGGCCGACGTTGTTACAATTTTTCAAAGTGACATCCCTTTGATTTTTAGATTAATGCCGCTATTTATAGCATTACACCAACCAGTTATTAAACACGTTGGTGGTTTGGATGGGGGTGAGGTGAGGAGGTGGAGGAGGATCCAGGTGTAAGGTCAAACATCAACACGCCTGCCCAAGCAAATTTTGATGTTTATGGCTGTGACTTTGGAATATCTAATTAAGTAAACCAGAGAAGTTGTAACAAAACACCAACAAAGAGAATTTGTTTATTACTTCCTTGTGCTCAAAATTATTTGAAAGTATGTGAAATTTTTACTTTCATGGACTGCTTTGAAAGGGCGCTATTTTTTTTTAAAGTAAAACACATTTTCGAACCTGACGGTCTATGCGGCAGGTGAAATAGAGTTCATCAGTGTATGTGAAAAGCGATAGTGTGGTCAGCACTATGCCCAGCCACCTTTACTTTCTTCAATCTGCGTTAAATACGTTATACGGGATCCGAAAGCGAGACTTTCGGGTTTAGGAGTCAAACGCTCTATTATTTGACCACCCCGCCTCTCTTTAAATTATCTATGCCATAAAAAAGTCGCATTGTTTATTAATTTTTTCGAGAGTTTGTTTTAGAACGGTTCATAAAAAATGCCACAGTAAAAATTTCAAAACCTCCGCGTTGTTTTAACCCCATCTTTAAATTTAAATAGCTCATGCGTGTCCTATAACACAATACATGTGGGAAACTTCAGATAAGTCAATTTAAATAGTCACGTCCCTTGTTCATAAATGGAGGTACATCTAATTTAAGAAAGACAATGGAATAAATCAAGGCAACAAACCATATGACAACTTAAATAATTGATGTACATTTGATCGACAGAGATTTATTTTTCCAAAAATTCTAAAATACAAAAATTCGCACTGTTACATTGCTCAACTTATTTTACTGAGAACACGAGACGCCGTTTAGTTGACGGAAACTCTTTATTACGCATGTGTAGAGAACCGTCTCTGATTACCTCTGATCACCAGTTCACGTTAAAAATAAAAAAAACTCAGCTTACACACTACACATTCAAGAGACATTGCTTTAATGATATACTGTGTGTAATACGAGGGACATAACTATAACTCACAAGATACAAACGTAACACGCACTTATTTAAACACTGCTATAAGTTGTTAAGGTTAATTATTTCTATACTATTTTATTAATTTTGTAGAGTAAACAATGTGAGCATGTACTAATCAATATTGTTATAAAAAAATCTCGTTGTAAACAAAGGGGAGACTAACTAACCAAATAGAAATTCTGGCATCAGTTAATTTTGATATTACCCTGACCAGTTCGTCAGTTTTTAAATCAGATAAATTGTGTTAAATAGCTACATCAAACATGCCAACATATGGACGAGGAGCAACAAAAGATCAATTCTCTACTAGGCTACTTCGGTACTGTGCATGCTCCTTCTGACAGCATAGACCTTATCCCCAACACGGATGGTCCCCCCTGACTCCAGCCCGCAGTAAACACCAAACAATGGCGACGTGGTGTTGATTGATGGAAACAGGCGACGTCTGATAAAAATTGGTAATTAAAATAAATTAAATGTTCTAACATTAAAAATTTCAAATTGGAAATGGTTTTTAAGTTGATTTAAAATCAGTACACACATTAACGACTAAGGAAATATGCAAATTTAGTTAAATATGTCTAGTTCAACTTCTCCACCTGGCTTTATGTTTTCAGCAGAGCAGCAGAAGCGATTTCAAGCACTGTTGTAGACAATGGCATCACAAGGACGGGTGTCATCCGGTGCGGTAACTGAGGGTGTCACCCCGCCCACTCCAACAATTTTGCATTTTCAGTTTAGTGTCACCCCTTTTCACTAATTAATTTATTATTTTAATTGGACAAAGTATTGTTTTGAAAGTAAATCCTACGGTTTTAGATTGGCTGTCATCAGGTGCAGACAAACCCGTACCAGTGTTCCTTCCACTTTTTTCTCCGGGGGGGGGGGGGGGGGGGGAAAGGGCTCTTGATATTTTCGACGGGGGGGGGGGGTGGGGTGGAACCGGGGCTGGTAAAAGTATATTTTCTATATAAATTTCGTTCGGGGAGGGCGGGAACGGTAGACTTTCTTCGGGGGGGGGGGGGGGTAACGCCCCCCCCCCCCCCTCTCGAAGAGATGCTTGGAAGAAACACTGGTCCCTACACTAGTATATGACGGAGATAGACTACCAAACAAGACTCCCTCACCTTCTCAGTGTTTTAAATGGCTCGCCATCTTCCCGTTTCTGTAGTTTCTCAGCGTCAACAGTAGTGAGAGGACACCTGGATATATTTCATTACATACATATTACATCGTCATTAATTACATTGATATCAGTTGTTTTATCATTACAGTTTAACCAAGTCGAACAGGAGGCTATTAATTTAGCCTACCGACATGGATCTGGTTTTAACTTGACAACACAGTTGCGTAAGTTTTTTTTTTTAATAGGCGGTGTGTGTAGAAATAATACTCTTTAGATGGTTAATTCCTGCCCCACCTCCCTCCCCAGCCTATACATTGTCCGCCATATAGTTTTGCACATGACAGAAGCAGGAAGACCAGGAGGGCAACTGCAGCTTGACATAAAATACTATAAAACAGTACTTGTCAACGGGGTTTTAACTTGTATTCAGTGTGGGTCACAATGACATTGGACTCTACCCTTGGTTTTAAGACATAATTTAAAGATTTTTTATGCCTGTATACTTTGTTGGTTTTAAGACATAATTTAAAGATAGTGATGCATATACACAAAGTAAATGGATGCTTGTACATAAAATAAACATCACCTTCCGCAGTGCTGCAAGACTCTCATGTAAACATAGTTACCGATCATTATTTCAGTCCAGTTATCCTGTGGACGTGTTAGAGAAATCAATTAATTAAATTGATTATATAAGTTTATTCGCATTTCAATATTTAAAAATATCATTTAACGAAGGTTGAAGTTATACAATTTACTTGAATAATGATCTATTACAGAAGTTTAGAATAGCATTTTAAACGCATACAAACAAATACTATCACCAAGTTTGCCTGTCTTTAACTCGTAAAGGGAAACAACCAAAGAAATTACGAACAAAAAACCTAGAAGAGTGACAGGTTAAAGGGAAATAAATAAGATAGACCTATGATATTTCAGATTTCAATTTCAACATTTGTGTTTCGATGCATTTCGTCATACAACCTTTCCTGTACTATAAAGTTAGGGTCAAAATGCTCTTAGGGCAGAATGTGGGACGTTTATCTTATCGCGATAGACTTGGTGGGTAAAGGGGTGGTGACTTACGAAAAAAGACCGCAGTTAAAAGTGTTTTTATCTTGGAAAGGTTATGATTACTGAATCTCTGTGGAACTAGAAAACATGATTGGGAAGGCAGGGGTAGTAGACTATGCTTGAGCGGTTTCTGGATTTTTGTGGGGGATGGGAGAAAACCGTCTGGAATTGCGTCACAAAATAAATGGCACCCCCTCCCTCGGCACATTTGATATTGACACCAGGCAACGATTTTCATTGACTGGACTAGCAGTGTTTCTTCCAGACTTTTTTCTCCGGGGGGGCACTTGAAATTTTCGGGGGGGCGGTAAACTTTCTTCGGGGGGGGCGGACACTGTTAAAAGTATATATTTTCTATATAAATTATATAAATTTCATTTCGTTCGGGGGGGCGGTAAAAATTTTTCGGGGGGGCTTCGCCCCCCCGAAGAGATGCCTGGAAGAAACTCTGTGGACTAGCATAGACCAGCTGATCGGGCCTACACTGTTTACACGATTGTCTCCCATACCTCATCCCACGGCTCCTCAATGCCCTTGATGACAATGGAGGGTCTGAAATTTCTCATGGTTATTTCCCCTTCTGGAGCTGGGCTGATCCATGTGTTGAGGTCTGCCAGAGATTCTTCTGTGGCGATCAGGTATGGGGCTCGGTTTGAGAAGGCAATCTGGCAAAAAAAAAGCATTTTCAGAAGGCAGTCTAGCAAGAAAAAGTATTGAACTTCTTTAAAAGAACCCAAAAATTAAATTAATATACATTTAAAAACAAATAATTAATTTCAAGAATATTAATTAACAGAAAAGTGAGTCATTAGAAGGAAAGAAATTTTTTTAGGAATAAATGTAGATAACTCTGTAATAGTGATTTATGCAATAAAGTGGCGCAAACTGATCTTTAAAAATAGGTTTTTTCCACGTGAACACGAATATGATGAACTTAACATATCTATGCACATTCTGATTAGGGTTGATAACAATAAGTTGTGCGACTTTTTACCTGGTCTTTAACGGTCGACTGAGCACAGCGCCCGACCCTCCTCTTCAGCCCCGGGGGCAGGACTAGCAGCTTGAGGCCCTCCATCTGTAAGACTTGACTTAACCAGGCCCCAGCCTCTGGGCCACAGTCCTGGGCTTCAAATGGCGTGGAATACAGTCTGTACATCAAGTAAAGATAATAGTACGTTGTTTTTAAATAAGGCACCTAGTTACAAGCAGTGGCGTAACTAGGTCGGGTGAAATCTGGTGCGGTAATTCTGTCACTCCGACAAAGATAGTTTTGGATATACTTATACTATATGCTGTAAGTATTTGGTTTCACCCCAGCACACAAAGGCGTCAATTGTAATTATATTGTATATTGCATTTAGCAATAAATAGTTATTTATCCAACTAAATAAATATTCTTTACTCAATAATAAGTGTCCATTACGATGTACACAATAGTGTTGCCCATTTTAGTGTACAAAATATTGTCGGCCATTTTGGTGTACAAAATAGTTAAACCATCAAAAATTATTCGGGAATTTTTTTTATCCCCTGTGATCACACCCATTGGCTTAGGACATGTAGTATTAATTCAATTGACAAAATAAACACGCCACTATCTTACCTGCATGGTACTATTTTGGCTAAGTCCACCTGATGGTTTAAAGGTACTCGTAGCTCAGGTACATTGTCGAATTCCAGGACCAGTTCCTGCTGATCTACTGAAGACTTAATCCCAGCGATCTGCGCCGTCTGGTGGGCTGTGACGTAATCGCCCGTGGCATCAACAATGAGAAAATGGCTGCAGAAGAATGAAGATTGACCAAAGAAGCATAAGTCAGCCATGTCCCATTTATTAATTTGTCTCTAAATATAAAGATTTTTTACTTCAGAAATAAAATATTTATCAATTAGAACCTGCTCTACTTTATCAAGCTAGCATCTCATTGGCTGTTTAATAGCTACAACTGTAGGTAATCCTTGCTTTATAAAGGGATTTTACCCTCTTCCTCCCCATGATCACGCATCATCACGGAAAGCAAGCCTCCACCACCCACCCCCGCTCCGAAAGTGACGTCATACCTCAGTCTACAACCCTCCCCCTCCCTTAAAATTGTAGTTTTTGTTTAATAAAACATCGATTTCTTTCTAAAACATCGACTGAGCTTCAATCAATTTCCGCTATAATTTACAAAAACTGGCTTTTAAAAAGAAAAGCCCCCCCCCCCCTCTCGATCTCCAATGAGTGCAGTTTTGTTTATTGGCAAACCATATTTAAAAAAAAAAAAACAACGAACCGCGTTCAAATATCACCATCAACACTTACCGATCACTGACATTGAATATTTTGAGACCCTCTGACGTACACTTGGCTTGGTCACATGACACGGGTCCACAAGACTTGACCGGGTAGACATTGAGGGCCGTGACCTCGCCCACTAGCTCGTACGTTTTCCTCTTCCTTCTTATCCAAACGAGAACTGTAACCGTTGCGACAGAAGCAACACATGCACACAAAAGCGGACCTCTTGGAAGTATCGGCCATCGAATCATTGTTTTATTATAACATATATGAATTATTTTTTTCTAGACACGTGTACGATAACTTGCATCAACTGAAATAAGTATTAAAACGAAAAAGTATGTTTAAATTTGACACTTTAATTTTGATTAAGTAAGTAGGCTTACTGCAGCGAGGTAGAACAATGCCTAATTCTCAGGCCTTCATTCGTCCAAAATTTTACATAAGGAAACACTTATTGAATAATATTACATTTGTAGAAGAACTAATTTAAATTTTTGTAAATGCCCCTCCGTCACTTAAAAAGTTATCAGCTGCATATTAATCACCAACCATTGCAAGATAAATGTTATGTCCTCATTTCAAGGAAACAACAATAATAAAAAAATAATACTAGGTTGAAAATATCCAGGTATTTCTCCAGTGATGTGTCGTGAATCTTTTCCCTGGACCTTGTCACCTTACAACTGGACCAAAGAAGGCTGTAGGTTGCAGACGATTGCAGACTGTGTTCAGGAGTATTATAGGTGTGTACACCTACAATATAAGCTACCCCCCCCCCCCCCCACACACACACACCTCCACACACCGCCTGTTGTTTTATTTTAATATTAAATTATTTTACTGTAGCGTTTTTCAAACTGGGTCAGGCAATCTAGGACTACCTCTAGGCAGAGGCGTATCCGGGGAGAGGGGGTGATGGTGGGGGAGAGGTGTAGCGACCAGGACCTATAACCAGCGACGTCGCTGTAGGGTGTCACCCGGTGCGGCACTTCTTGGTGTCACCCCCCCCCTCTCTACACACCACCAAAGGAAAAAAAGTGTATATATATATATATATATATATATATATATATATATATATATATATATATATAATATATATATATATATATATATATATGAGGGACTGGGTTTGTGTGTGTGAGTGTGTATGCATTGTCGAGACTTTAAACTCTAATTATTCATTAATTGAACCGGCAAAAAGCATATTTCTTCTATATTTTGCAATTTTTCATCTTGGTGTCGTCACCCACCCCCAATAAATGGTGTCACCCGGTGCGGCCCGCACCCCCCGCCTCTGCCTATAACTCATCATCGGCACCCCATAATGCAAGTTATTTGTGACATTCGTCAGTTATATTCATTCTTTTTCTCTGGGGTGCTGGCTCCAAGAAATGTTGTAATAATATGATGGATCTTGGTGTATGGAGATTTTATATTACATTACAATAAATTTCAGTTAAGTATTAATTAAATGTTCACATTCATTCAATCTCAATCGACTATTATCATGTAACCAATCAACACATTTTAGCTGAACAGGAAGAAGGGATTCAGCATCTGACCAGTACCATATGGGTCATCTGAGAGATTGACCAGAAGGTATGACTTCCCTAAACACAGAGGGACAAGATGTTGACATGACAAGTTGAAATGATTTTTTAATTCCCAATGTACACAAATAGCAGCTATAAAAATAAAATATTGAAATGTAAAAAACTTTTATTTCAGACTCATCATCAAAAACACCATCTTTCATGTTACTCACAAAATGTTTGGTAAAAATTCCAGTTATGTGAATAAAATGTTCTGGGAGCAACCTTTTAAGGAATAAGGCACATACAAGTAAAAGTGTAGAAAGTAAATTCTAAAATCTGTGTAAAAAGATATGAAACAATTACAAAACTTGAACTATTACATTCTTTATAAAAAAAAACAACCCACATCGAATTAAATTTAAAGAAGAGCAATAACAAATATGATTGGAAGGAAATGTAGAAAACAATGTTTAAACTTTTATAAAAAAAAACAACTTAAAACAAAATATAGTTACCGGAACTAAGAGAATGCAATTATATATAAATAAACAATTACATTTCTAATTGAGATCAAAAGTAGGTACAAAAAATAAACAAAAATAATTATCTATTTCATACTGAAAGTTCTTTAGTAAATTGCAAAAAGAAAACAAAAAAATATTTTAGTTTGATTAATTACAGTTTAAAATGAATTATATTTAAATTACAGTGAAAAAGTTCATAAGAGTTACATAGGATAAAAAGACATTTAAATAACTTTAAGAAGTAAATAAAGGTGAAGTAGTCTACTCTCTCTAACAACAGCATAAACAGCTCAAGCATTTCTAATAAGCTGGCAGATTACAAAAAAATGAAATAACCTGGCATTTCTCACACCCATGTTGCCAGCTAATCTTTGGGTTTCTGCCCAGTTTTTACTTCTCCCCCCTGGTAGCGATCTTTAGACCAGGTAGGGAATTAGTAATTTTCAGGTTAGCATCCCCAATTTATTAAATATTTGAATACAAACTGTCAGACTAAAAAAATAAAAGCATAATTTATTAAAATAATAAGACAACACATTTAATAAATATAACTATTGCATAAAAATTAAATGACAAAATAAACTGAATGTTCTAATGATAAAAAAATAGAAAACATTTCAGAATGCTTGAGGAAAATTGACCTAATTATTGATTGTACATATAAGTACAACTTCTCCAAAAAAATAGGCTATACACCAGTCAAAAAGAAACACAATTTTAAAAGTAGTAACAATATTTCTACCATAATTATGCTGACACTGGGTATAATGATGATAATTTTATGTTTTTTTATGGGAAACCTGACCTATCAAGGAGCAAGTGAATCATAAATTAGATAAAAAAATGGCTGTAAAATAATTTTGTAAATCTGCTATCAAGTCAAGCATTACATAACAGGCTATAGGGAGCCAACATATTGTATACCACATTATAAAACCAACATAATTATCTGTGTGTGTGGACCTCAAGGAAAGCTTCCATATTTTTTATTTTCTGACAGCGTAAACTGGATCACCAACTTTTATCGTGCTTTCAGAATCAACAGCTGCAAATACTCCAAACAGCGGAGAAGATGGATTTTCTTGAGCGAAGATCCGAAACCTAAAAAAATGATAACTATATTATAATACCATGAAATATGAAGACAAAAAAAGAAAAAAACTTAAAACTGGTTTATCAATATTGTATTCAGGAAAATGAAAATTTTTGTATAAGAAAAAAAATAGATTAGCAATATGATAATAGCATAGGCTCCACAAGTTCCACAATAAAAATAAGATAATATTAATTTAAAAAAAGCAACAATGAGTTGATCTAAATTTAAACCTTTTTAAAGTCTTCAGAGGCTGCTCATCACTTCGCCTCTCATATTTATCTGGGTCAACTGTGGTCATCACACACCTGCACAGGTAACACATCAAATTCATCAAAATATTTTTAAAATATGGAAAGATTCAAGTCCATAATGTCTAATTATATAAAGATTTAATTTAAACTATTTATTATTCAATTACAAGACTGCACATCTGCCAACAACAATTTGATTTCAGTTAACCCAAAAAAGTCAATAGATATCAGAAATATTGCAGACTTAGGGTCAGTGGTGCTTGAATCTTGATTAGGAAACTTAGATTTTCCACTCTCCTCTCAATCTCCCAGAAATTTATTTTAGATCTGAACAAAATATTGAAGAAATGTCAGCTTTTAAAATATTTATTTATAGGCTTACCTTGTGCAAGGGGCAGGCACTCTCATTTCAATTGATTCTCCAATTTTTAAAAAGCTCCAGTTATCCTGTATTTCAACAAATGTTTAATTTAGCATAGTTTATTTTTTAGACACACACGAATACAATACAGTGATTTCTGTCTTAACTAGCAATAAGGAAATTGAAACATGCATTGTAAAAAACAGAATCATTGGCCTATAGCAAGTCAGGATCAGAGACAAAAACTTGACAATACTAGCAATGATTAAGCTTGCCCTTAAACACTGAGACTGACATGTTATCAATCTGAGTAGTAATGCAGAAAATAAGGCAATAATTGTAGTTAGTTAGCTGTAGAGTAGTCTGAATTATTGGCAATTCTTGTTTCTTTAACAGCAACAAAACCTATCAATGCAATGTTTTCTAAGTGTGAACATCTAATACACAATTTCATTAGCAATTCTAAGCATAATTTAGTTGTGTAAATCTCAATGTTATTTATGGCTCTACAACCCATGGAGGTCATCATATTTTCCCATAGTAATCTGTTTGCAATTAGTGGTTACCTACAATGGATGCACATCATGTCTTCTTTATTTCATCAGTCTAATCATTTGCTGACCTGTGAGATGCTTATTGCTTTGTTTTTATCTTCTTATGATGTGATATTCCATTGAAAATGTTTTACCCACAGTGAAAATTTGGTCGGGCAATCTGTTCAAATGTCCTATTTGATCTGGTGTGTATGTGTATATTTGATCTGGTATTCTATTCAAATGTCCTACCCATTGTGTGAGTTTATTTTGTGAATAGATATTTTACCTCATCCCAGGGTTTCTTCGTGCCCTTGATGACAATATTGGGTCGAAAGTTTCTCATCGTGACCTCGCCGTCAGGTGATTTCTCAATTCGTGAGTTGAGGTCAGCTAGAGATTCTTCTGTCGCTACAAGGTAAGCACTTTGATCAGGGAATTCAACCTGTTAAAACAATGAAATAATATTTGAACAAGTATGCCTAATTGATATTAACAATTTTTATATTATTAACCTCAGCTTTTTCTTAAAATGTTTAACTGCCATAAATAAATCACAAATTTACAGCTATGTATGCTTTATTTATCCTATGAATGGATAATCTTTGCTAAAGATACTTTATTATATTTAAGATAATTGTGTTAATATATTATGTAATTGATGAATAATAATTAAAAAAACTAATATCACAACAGTTATTAATTGAGTAAAGAACAATGGCAGAATTAGCAAAAAAGTCCCCCCCAACCGATTAACAATGTTTTTGCACAGTATTACGAAGGTGCAGAGGTTTAGCAAAGTACTCAAATAATAATAAATATCGACAATTAAAGGGAAACAGAAATAGTGTGTAATTATTGAACAATAAAGAAGTTTAAAATCCAATGCACCAACATATTTTTAACACAATTTCCAGGACTAAAAATTACCAGATGTAAGCAGAAACGTTTACATCTGCAACCTTTAAAAAAATTTAAATCTAAATACAGAAATACGAATGGGGAAGGGAGGCTAAACCTTGAGTTAAACTAAATTTAAATGGTTTAATGGTGATAAAATACCTTGTCTTTGGCTAGAGTATTTTTTGCTATACTTTGCCTCTTGCTAACCCCTGGAATGAATACAACAAGCTTCAGACCCTCCTCCCCCAATACAGAACTAATCCATGAGGATGCTTCTTCTCCACAGTCCTGGGCATCTAGAGTACTAACCCAAATTCTGGAAAAAAAGAGGCCACAATTTCTTATGTTAGCCATTGTTAGATATTAAATTGTAACTATTTTGTCTTCTTGTTCCTGATAAGCAACACACGAATAATTTCTATAACAAAAATATAAGCTAAATAAATAATTACACTTTAATAAAATAAACGTACATAACCCTATAACAACATAGCAACATACCTGCACTGTATTATTTTACTTTTATCCAGCTTTGGAGATAAAGGAACTTTTAATGAAGCCATCCCATCTGCATCTAGAATCAAAACCTGGCCATCCACTGATGTTTTGATTGAGGCCATTTTAGAAATCTGACGTTGTGTGATAAAGTCACCATTTGGACGAATTATTAAAAAGTGCCTTTAAATTGGAAATAAATATGACGTTATGTTTGAAGAGGCTAGTCATTTGTAAGATATTATGATTAGATGTTATGCATAACTCAATAAGTTTATAATTTAAACTACTTTTCGGGATGAGAATCCTTAAGCAGGCAATATCTGATATAGGAAAGCTTTTTTGCCGTAAACCTGTTTATTAGTCAATACATCTTTTCATCTATAAAAAAAGGAGTTTAATTAAAGGTTAAATAATAAAGAAAAAAAATTCATAATGATCATTAATTAGTGGTCATCATGGGGTTAAACCCAATTGTCATAAACTGTATTGTTCTGGTGATGAAAATGTAAAACTGACCTGTCTTTGACACCTGACACCACTAAACCAGTGCTTGAACAAAATGCAACATCCCCCTTAATACCTGCACAGGACTTGACTGGGTAGCAATAGAGACCAGACACTTCTCCAACAAGCTCGTAGACTTTCTTTTTCTTTTTCATAGTAAAGTACACAGAGGCAGCTATTGCAGTCACAGCAGTGGCGGCTAGTGTTAAACTCGACCATTGCACCATGACTGTAGTTTGCTACAGCTAAGAAACACAAAAGAAATCATTAGATAAAATATTAGTTTATATTTTAATTAATATAAGTGTCGCTCTGTTCTTAGAATGTAAAATATATTTAAAAAATATATTAGAACTAGATTCTATGTTTGTTATACTTTTAGGTTACTATACTAGTTATTATATAAACAATGGGCTGTATAATAACTTAATTAATAACTATAGTATTTATGGATATTATAATGTTTGTAGTAAATAATAATAAATATTATTACCCCATTACTATACTATAACTATAGATTGATAGATACTATTAGTCTATTAGTATAGTATAGCAACTATACTTATAGATAGTAGGCCTGTACTAGAAAATTTTATTTTATGACTAATTAATTGTTGATTGTAGTGCATTGTGAGGTAAAGCTGACATTCTGATGATAGTATTAGTAATTAGACTATATCATATAGATCTAGATCTATCTAGATCTAGATTTCTAGTAATAATAACATAAACATAGATCTAGTAATTTTTTCATGTGGACCTACTAAACCTTGCCTAAAGTATTAATTTTATGAATTAGTATTAGTTAGATTATGAAGTATGTCTATAATCTCTATATTAAATGCAATTGCAATGGTAGGCCTATGTTGAATGTTGACTTGCTTAATATATATCAGACTGTTATGTATATTAATAGGCCAATATTAAGAAAATAATATCTTAGAAAACACAATTTATTTATTTATCGTATAAAATTAATAGGTATAAATTAGACATCAAATCTGGCAGAGCTGTAGAAAATACTTTTTTTGATATAGTATATAGTAAAGCAAAGGCCTATTATAAATATCGAACAAATGGCCAGTTAAGTAAGTGAGCTTAACAGTCGGTTACATAGACTATGTATAAGACTAGTATAGGACAATACTAATTATTACTGATAAACTTAGTACAGTAGCTAAGATCTGTAGATTCTAAATCTAGATTCTAGTTCTAATACTTTACCTGCGTATTATTAATTTAATTAGGCTTAGGTAAGTATTATTTTAGTATAATAGCCTCACTGCTTTGAATAATCAAATAAAAAACTAATACCTAGATTTAGTTAGATTAGTAGTTAATGAATGGGCTAATAAATTAGTTTATCATTGGTTTGAAGTCTATTCGAAGCTAACATTATAAAAAAAACTTTGGCCTAGAATCTAGACTCTAGATCTATATTCTATTTGTTTTTCGTGTATCTAGACATGCGTCGGATTCTACGACAGTCTACGTTAATAGAAAAAAAACGCACATCATTAAAACAAACCAAAATATTTTTAAATATAGGCCTAGGCCTTATCTATCTTAATCTATATATAAAAAACAAAGTTGGCCCCAGGTTATGCGCCGTTAATAAGACCAAACTTACTTATTTACCCCTGGTTATAAGTAAAGTTACCTTTTCGAACTTGCCGTGCCACCTTTCCAATCATCGTCAAAGTGATTAAAAAAAGCCACCCACTATTAAAATCAATTTTTTTTTCTTATTTTAATTAAGATAGCATTTTAAGGCTAAAATATTTTTAAAAGACTTTATTAATATTTAAAACAACGAATTTTTTTTCTTAATAGCTAGCTTACTATAATAATTAATAGATATAGATCTGTACAGCATTATTAACTGTTTTCTTGCTACAGTGGTTTTGCCAAAACATCAATCTTTATTTAATAATGAAAATTATATATGTTAGGAAATATAATTAATTAGACCTGAAGTTTTTAGGCGGTCTGACTTTTTATGAGTAGGCCTAGGCCTATATGTGTAGTGTAGACAAAAAGGTTAAAATAGGTAAATTTTGATACATAAATTATTAATTAGTGATAGATTTGTCTCATATCCCGAATTATGCTTTTAGCCTCAGTCATTATTTTTAGGATATTAATAATATCAAAATATAAGAATCCTCCCACCCCCCTCACTTTTTTGACGATTTTTACTCCACCTGCCCTCTGTACAGAGTTTCTTCCAGGCATATCTTCGGGGGGGGGGGGGGGGGGAAGGGGGCTCAAAGAAAGTCTACGAGATAGAATTTATATAATAAACATATACTTTTACTAGTGTCCGCCCCCTCCCCCGGAAAATGTAGACCGCCCCCCGAAAATATTAAGTGCGCACCCCCCTCCGGAGAAAAGTCTCGAAGAAACTGCCTCTGTCACACATCGTCACAAAAAGCCAGACCCCCCCCCCCCCTAAAATGACGTCACCTCTCAGCATACACCCCCCCCCCCACCTCAAAATTGCATTTGAATTTTTTTAACATCAGTTTTTTCCCCCTAAACTATCGACTAAGCTCTGTAAACAAAGGGATTTTAATCAATTTCTATTACTATTTATTAAAATGGTTTTATAAAACGTGAAATAACGGCTAAAATTCAGTTTCTTACATTACTTTTTTAAAATGCAAAAGTGTGACTATCGGAACCCCTCTCCATCATCACAAAATCACCGACGCCCCATCCCCCCTACGAGTGTGACGTCATTTATGGACGATCCGTTGTCCATAGTTGAATGAAACAATTCTAAGTCATGCTAAAGTTGTGTATGAGCTATACTAGTAGCATCACGGGGGTGGGGGTGATGTTACGGACCGCACAGGGTGGCACCATTTGATATGGGGGTGACACCAAATTATCTATTATTTTGGTAAATCATACATTTAGTCTTTAATGGAGGGGTGATACCATGGTTTGTTCGACCTTGTGAAGCCACTAGTGTATATCATGCATAACTTTTGTACAGATTTTAAAATCTTACTGTGATGATTTTTTTTGGACTGAGTGCTGTGTGAATCACCATCCAGTAATTGTGTCATTCATCTACAACTTCTAGATAAATAACACAATTCTTAAATGGTTTTACAAAAGAACTGTATTTAACTTTATTCAAGTTTTAGACACTCTCTAGTTACACAACAAAACCACATTTTATAGCAATCTTATTAGCTGTTACTCTTTTTTTAAGACCAGCTTTAAAAAAAATTATGCAAACTATATTAAACATTTATTTTACAGAAGTAATTTACAATGTTAAATTTAAATTAAAAAAAAACACCATTATAATTCATTATATTTTAAATACATATAGCTTTTCTTGTGCAATAAATTAATAAAAAATAATCTTTAAAGCTATTAATTGAACTATTTTTACTTTTGGGACATCATTCTGTGGAGCATAAAGTCTGTTTAGGTATCATAGGGACAGATAGTATATTATTATCATTTTATTGGGTAAATTGTTACATATACTGCCTTTGATTTAAATTATTATTATTCTACAAAATTTCTTATAGGTGGATTGATTGTATGAAAAAATTGTCACAACTGGTTTCAACATTATTTATAAAATCTATAAATATGTTGCATTAAAAGTGTTTCTAAACAAGATTAATAAATTTTAACTGTTTAGAAAAATTAAGAATAGATCTAGGAGAATTTTTTTTTAATATGACTCAACAAAAAGTTGTAAAGAACTTCCTATTTGGATAATATTCAGTGCATTTTTTAAAAGGCTAGGATTATCCTTGCAAAAACGTACCATGAATAAATCAAAATTAAACATATAAAATATAATTGCAAGAAAAAAGCAACTGATTAAATACAACAAAGTATGGCTAGATAATAAATATATAAACTTAAAATATATTAAATAAATATTTTACAAAGTGCATTTTTCATAAAAACTTTAAGCAAAATAACTTGTAATCAATCAAACAATTTTTGTTACATATCCTAAATAACAAGATTATATTAAACAGAAAATTTTACTTTTATAACACAAGAAAACATTATCAATAAATATTGACTAAACCTAATACATTTTATTTCCTCACAGCATACACTGGATCACCAATTTTTATAGAGTTCTCAGTATCTACAGCTGCAAAAATGCCAAAAAGTGGAGCTGTAGAGCTGACTTCAGTGACGATCCTAAATCTTAGGGGAAAAAATAAACACATTCAAATACGAGTAACATAAACAAAATAAGAGATTTGTTTATAATTATATAAGAGTATTTACTATTTACATATTAAATATTTGAAAATAATTCAAACTTTATATTTGAAAGTATGTTCTTAAAGATTAAATTTTAAATCTTTAGAAATACATGTTAAAATATTATTTCAACACACCTAAAACAAAAGAGTTCATAAACATTGAACAAATATAGTAAGAAGAATGAAATACAAACTTTCTCAAAGTTTTGAGTGGCTCCCCATCTTCTCTTCTCTCACTTTTATTGGGATCTACAGTTGTTAGTAGACATCTGGACAAGGCATAAAATACATTTTTTTGAAATAGGAAATACAAAAATTTATGACAAAGTCAAACACATTAAATATAAATTACCTATTAAGCAAACAATTACATATCATTGATTTTGGTTTGAACCAGTCAACTTAAATGCTTAACTCTGCAAAAAAGAAAAGATTACTAAAATTATACAAAAACATTTTATTACCTGTCACAAGGGGCAAGTACTCTCATTTCAACAGATCCTCCAATTTTCAAATGGCTCCAGTTATCCTAAAAATAGTTATTTAATACATTTTTACTGATTTAGGAGTTGCACACTAAAATAAAATAAAAATGCTTTTTTTTATGCCACAAAAAATGCTGAATTACTCAGTTAATTTTTTACCTCATCCCAAGGTTTCTTTGCACCTTTTATAATAATAGTAGGTCGAAAGTTACTCATAGTAATCTTCCCATTAGGTGATTTCTCTATTCTTGAGTTTAGGTCTGCTAGAGATTCTTCTGTTGCTAAGTGATAAGGACTTTTATCTGGAAATGCAATCTGTTGTAAAACAATAACATAAGAGACACAATAAAATAAACCAGCTTTAGTACCTCCCATACTCTGTCAGTTAAAGAGCTTATAATTGAAAAGCTATAATTAAGTTATGTGTATGCCTTTCATTTCAATTATATTGTAGATTAAGCTTTTATATTTATAATGAAGTTAGCACAGGATTGAAATATTTTCCCTTCCGCAACGAGACTAAAGAACATGATATAACTGAATATGAATCAGATGAATAAGATTCTTGTATATTCATGCAATTTAAAAAAGAATTGGAATAGATTGCCTTTTAAATATATTATGTCTTTATTGAAATGATTGATCAAAATACCTGGTCTTTGGCTAATGAATTTTTTGCTACACTTTGTCTCTTGCTGACCCCTGGAATGAATACAACAAGCTTCAGACCCTCCTCCCCCAACACAGAACTAATCCATGAGGATGCTTCTTCTCCACAGTCCTGTGCATCTAGGGTACTTTGAAAAATTCTGGAGAAAAGCAACAGAAGTCACACTTTAAAATAACAGTCTCATTTTTCTGAAATGACACTATTGTAAGTAACTAAAATGTTAGTAACATCACCATTTTACAGTATTTATTTCAAAATCTTTTCATGAGATGATGCACATTTTTAATTAACAGTTGCTGTGTCAGAGAAATTCCTAAAAAAAACATTTTTCTGATGGGCTTAAGAGAATTTTAAAAAAAACAAATCTTTTTGGCATTTACCTACAGAGAATTATTTTACTTTCATCCAGCTTTGGAGATAAGGGAACTTTTAATGAAGCCATACCATCTGCATCTAGAATCAAATCCTGGCCATCCACTGATGTTTTGATTGAGGCCATTTTAGAAATCTGACGTTGTGTAATAAAGTCACCATTGGAGCGGACTATTAAAAAGTGCCTATACATAATAAATAAAATAAAAATATATCCTGGTTTTAGTGTAGCAATACCCACCTATGTTAATATAAATGTAATGTAAACATTAGTTGAACAGTGTTAAATATTTCAGATTTTAGAAATATTTTCAGAAAAGATTAGGAGGAGCCTAAATACATCAGTCAATGATGTATCATTTTATTTTATAAACAGATTAATGCATCAGCAGTATTTTGTTCCACATCAATATAATGAAAATTACATCTAAAATCTAATGAGCTATTCACCAACATTTTTGGTTAAAATATAAAAAATGTGCATTGTTCCTTTAAAAAAATTTTCAATTCAGCTTAAAGCTTTAAGTGACAACATTGGGACACCATCCAAAGGATGATTGACCACTAGAGGGCTACATGGATGAAAATGTAAAACTGACCTGTCTTTGACACCTGACACCACTAAACCAGTGCTTGAACAAAATGCAACATCCCCCTTAATACCTGCGCAGGACTTGACTGGGTAACAATAGAGACCAGACACTTCTCCAACAAGCTCGTAGACTTTCTTTTTCTTTTTCATAGTAAAGTACACAGAGGCAGCTATTGCAGTCACAGCAGTGGCGGCTAGTGTTAAATACCGGCTGTTTGTAAAACTTGACCATTGCACCATGACTGTAGTTCAATATCTGTAAACTGAATAGAGTAAAAATTCAAATTTAAATTGTGTATTGTTTAGACCCTATAGGTCTATGTGCATGACATATAGACCTAAGGCCTACAACTGATATTAAACACAGAAACAAAAACAGTAATAATTTAACAGGCACTAATAGCCAATGGGCTAAATAATACCATTTAGATCTATATTTGTTTAATACTATAATATAATAATAGGCAGTTATCGCTTAGGGTTTCTCTTTAAATACTTTACCCCAAACCTGTTAATATTTAGAGTTAGAAGTCTACAATGACTTGACTATTTGTTCATTAGCCTGTTGTGATAAGAACTTTAGACCATGAAAAACTTTGGCCCATTACACGTTTTTAAAAATTAGAAACTCAGGAGGGGGGGGGGGGGGGGGGGGTGCGTTTAAAATTGACGTAACACACGATAAAAAAAAAGAGGTGGAGTGGTATGATGTTAGTGTCAATGCTCGTAAGGAAACGCGAATCAGCATACATCTACAGATTCTACATGTGCTTTAAAAAATTTTTTAGTGTCGAATTTCTAGGTAGAAATAATGTAATTTTTTTATGGTGATCAGAGAGGTGATACGTTATGACGTCAAGTTAAATTATAAGAAGGAAGGAGGCTGGCTTTTCTTAGTGATATGCGGTGATAGAGGAGTGGTGGTAATCTACTTGACGTCGTTGATCGAAGACATTCCCCCCTCCCATAAGGGCGACTACTCTTTAGTAGGCATATACGTTTTAACAGCTCTCTCGAGTTCTCTGTCCTGGGCAATGGCACAGGTAGAATTTAGATATGGGGGTTCTCAAATCTCTCCTCCTATGGCCTATGTGTTTATATATATATATATATATATATATATATATATATATATATATATATATATATATATTAACATTTGAGAACGGAAAATGTGGTTATATGAAATCATCAATTTTGAAACTAAAAGTTTTGCAAGTGACAAGAGAGAGCCGCCAATAGCCACAACTAAACATGGGACAGCTGAGAATGGAGCTGACTCCATGTTTGAGCCATCTTGATAATATCTGACTGTTCTTGTCATCAAGGACTTTTATGACTTGCTACTTTCCCCACCAAACTTAGTGATTGGTCAGCAATGTCTGAAGATTTGCATAACATGAACCCTAACCGACCCCCATTTGGGGGGAAAAGTGGGTTCAGTAGTTAGGTATCATGGATTACTTTTAAACTTTGCTGTACTACTTTCGTGCTTTTGTTTTGCACTAAGTAGGGACCTAGTGGTTGAGTGGTAGGTCATTTGATTGCTATCCCGAAAGTCTCGATTTCGGATCCTTGCTCAGACTTGGGTCTACAGGATGTCCATGAGTCCAATGAACTATGATAGGTACCTAACTCACGTTAGGGAAAGTAAAGGCCTTTGGGCATAGTGCTGACCGCATCACCCCCTTATATGCCATGATCAAGAAACAAAAGACCACTACTTCATCGCCCCTAAAAATTGTTAGGTCTGAAATGGGAACTTGATTAAGTAATTAGGCCTCAGAGATTTCATTGAACAGTTCTCTACAAATTCTCTCCAGGCTAATTAATTAAGTTCTCTCCAAGTTACAAAGACATATTTTAGTACCACAAAAACAAAACCAACTCACAGGTTTCTCAATATTCAGCAGTCACATTAAGTTAACTTTCAAAATCATGCCAACAACATCATTTGAATATAATTGTACTGATTAATTTTTATTTTTCAAAATGTAAAATATACACACAAAAAACCCACTTCAGTTAAACAGATGTAATGCCTGCTAATGCTATAAAATATGCAACAATATTTATTTTATAACAGTAATTTCAAAACTTTCCTGTAATATATGAGCATTTCTCTAAAGAATAAGGCACATATACGTGTTTATGCAGATGTTAATTAAAAATGTAACAATATGTATAAAAAAAATTATCAAATACTGTTGGATAATGAAAAAAGTAGAAACCATAACTAGCCTTTTTTGTACAAAAACAAATGCTTGTTTACAAATAACAGCAGAAAGGATGACTGGAAGAGATTCAGTGACAGAATTTTTTCCCTCAATAACTGTTTGATAAACACACTTAAGTTGGAATAATCACAGATTTAAAAAAAAAATTACCGGGATAGAGTAAACAATACAACCAACTTATGGTAGAAAACAAAATGTAAATTATTATTTTCTCTGATCACATTTATGGGAAGTCCTTTGGCAAGCTGAGAACTACAGGCATTATACACATCTTTGAGATTCTTAATTAATCGCTTTGAATAAACTTAAGTACATGCAAAATTTGGAACTTTTTTTTTAGATTGAATAGAAATGAAAAACAAAATGGCTTTACCACAATTTAACAAACATATATAAAGTAAGTTGGCTACTCAAAAAAAGATATAGATTACCTTCAATTTTAATAGACTTGTTTGGTTTTTTAAAAAAAACCTACAAGTATCAAATGATTATTACAAATATATAATAAATGATTAGAAAAATTAAAAATAAATTGAACCATCACAAAAAATAGACGTCTTTACATCTGAGAAATGGTTGCAAAAATCAAATAACTCATTTGAAGAATAAGGACTAGAATAAAAACCTGAATATATCTTCCATGAAAATAGTTAAATAGAATATGATTGCCAGAAGTCAACTGAATAAATATAAAGACAACAATAGCTTTTTAAGAGTACAAATGTAAGACATCAAAAAGCATACAAATTCAAATTAGAAAGAAATGTTTCACAAAATTTGGTTGTCACATAAAATTTCCGGTGTTTTAAAAATTATAATAAAATTAAGGAAAATAATTTATTACATAAGAAAAAATTAATCATCAGCACATATTGACTTTGAAGAAAACATACTAATTCCTCACAGCATAAACTGGGTCACCAACTTTAATAGAGTTCTCCATATCAACAGCGGCAAAAATCCCAAACAGAGGCGCTGTAGAACTTACTTCACTGAAGATTCTAAAACTGTACAAGAGAAATTAAAACGCTTAAATTTTATAATACTTGGTTTAATAATTTAAAATTAACAATACTCCTTAGCAGGAAATAAATTGCAAATATGTACATTTTATAATTAAAACAGATTTTAAAAGTTTTTAAGTTTAATTTACATAAAATAATTAAACTCTGTGCTTGATATTTTATAATTAATGTCATTTATAAAATAAATTACATACTCTTATGACATTATCATAACAATTGTAATATACAATTATAATGAATTTTACCCTTTAACAACACCATATCAATGTAAGTTCCATATTAAAAATAAAAATAGTTAAACAAAACTGTAAAAGTATCAAATTCACACCTTCTCAAAGTCTTGAGTGGCTCCCCATCTTCTCTTCTCTCATTTTTATTTGGATCAACAGTAGTTAGTATACACCTGTTACAGTACACATTGAATTGATTGAAATAAATCAGTTGGTCACTAAATCAAGCTAATTAAATACATGTTTTCAATTAAATGATATTTGTTTAAACCATTCAGTATAACGTTTCACTCAAAAAAAAAGGCGAAAAGATTTTCAGAATTTTAAGTTTTTTTTCAAAAAAGAGCTCAGATTTTACCAACTGTTCCAGTTTTAAATTTTAATACCTGTCACAAGGGGCAAGTACTCTCATCTCAGATTCTCCAATTTTCAAATAGCTCCAGTTATCCTGAAAATTATTTTTAACCTTGTTTCACTACTTAATTATTGTTCAGTGTAATTAATACAAATTGTATGTAAATTATAATACAAATACTTTTTACAATACTGAAAGATGTAGAAGATATAGATATTTGAGATATACGAATACAAGTTTTTAGAGCAAGGGAAAACATTTTTAAAATAACAAGATCACTCAAATAGTTAATGATATTCAAGTAGGACAATAATTTACATTTAATAAACATCCCCACATAGAAAAAGCTGATAATTAGTTGTATTTTACTTATACTACCTCATCCCAAGCTTCCTTGGTTCCTTTAATGAGAATATTGGGCCTGAAGTTATTCACAGTTATCTCCCCACTTGATGATTTCTCTATTCTTGAGTTAAGGTCTGCTAGTGATTCTTCTGTTGCTAAATGGTAAGGACTTTCATCAGGAAATGCGACCTGTTATAAAATAACATTAAAGAAAACATAAAATAAGCAGAACATTGTAGAATACTCATGTCGCAAATGAAAAGGTCCAACTTATCAATCTTACATTGTAAAATTAAAATAAATGATATTCAGTTTAGTAATTTATAATCTGTATTCTATTACAATACGTGGTAGTATGGGATTCTGTGTAGTCTACAAAAAAAAAAAAAAACCTTTTGAGATTAAAACTGAGCATTAGACATTATAAAATAATGATACAATTTTTAGTATTTTACTTGTATAATTATTATTATTTGAATTAGACATGGATGCTATGAGTATAAATAATTAGTTAAAGTGAAACTTTAAATGAATTAAATCTTGTTTGAGCAAAATACCTTGTCTTTGGCTAATGCATTTTTTGTTGAGCTTTGCCTCTTGCTGAGCCCTGGAATAAATACAACAAGCTTCAGACCCTCCTCCCCCAACACAGAACTAATCCATGAGGATGCTTCTTCTCCACAGTCCTGGGCATCTAAAGTACTTTTCCAAATTCTGGTAGTAAAAATATAAATAAACAACATTTTAAATGCACAGATGGAATGTTACATTTGATGGTCTTAAATATTTTCGCCAAACAAGTTTTTAGTTTGAGTAACTTTTTAAAAAAAAAATTTAATTTTTAAAATGTGCACATATCTATGTGTAAAAATTTTTAAAAGGAAGTTTACGGTATGGCTATAAAAAATTGAATTGATGTTTTTGTTTATACCTGCAGTGGATTATTTTACTTTCATCCAGCTTTGGAGATAAAGAAACTTTTAATGAAGCCATCCCATCTGCATCTAGAATCAAATCCTGGCCATCCACTGATGTTTTGATTGAGGCCATTTTAGCAATCTGACGTTGTGTAATAAAGTCACCATTTGGACGAACTATTAAAAAGTGCCTTTAAATTGGAAATAAATATGACTTTATGTTTGAAGAGGCTAGTCATTTCAAAGATATTAAGCTTAGATGTTATGCATGCACAAGAATAGAGCTAAAGCGTTGGGCTAAAGATAAACTCCGGAAAAACCAAGCTAATGAAAATAAAAACCAAAAGTGCTCTCAAGACCTTTGCGAATGGAGCAGAGCTAGAAGAGGTCGAAGACTTTAAGTACCTCGGCAGCTATATATTAGCAAATGGCAGCATGGAGAAAGAAATTGCCACCAGAATAGCAATGGCAGCACAAGCTTTCAACAGACTCGCTAAGATCTGGAAATCATCCTCACTGCAGCAGAGAACTAAAATAAGGATCTTTAAGTCAAATGTACGTTCTGTACTCCTCTATGCTGCAGAGTCATGGAAACTAAACAAGAAAGGAGAGAGCCGACTCAGAGGCTTTGAAAGAAGATCCCTCCAACGCATCCTCAGGATAAAGTGGGACGACAAAGTCCCGAACAAGGAAATATGGCGAAGGACAGGATTAAATGACATTGTCTCAGAAGTTCGAACGAGGAGATAGAGATGGCTGGGCCATGTCCTAAGCATGAGCAAAAAAAAGACTCCCCAACATGGCGCTGAAGTGGAACCCACCCGGAAAGAGAAATAGAGGAAGACCACTGGGAACATGGAGGAGGGAGATGGAAGAAGAAGTACAGGCTACTGGCAAAACCTGGCATGAACTAAAGTGGCTCGCCCAGGACAGGGTGGAATGGCGGAGATTTGTTGCTGCCCTATACTCCACAGGGAGTGATGAGGATTAAGTAAGTAAGTAAGTAAGTTATGCATAACTCAATAATAGTTTATAATTTAAACTACTGTTTGGGATGAGAAACCTTAAGCATAAGACAATATCTGATACAAGAAAGCTTTTTTGCCGTAAACCTGTTTATTGGTCAATATATCTGTTCATCTATCAAAAAGGAGTTAAGTTAAATACTGAGAAAAAATTCATAATGATCATTTATTAGTTGTCATCATGGGGATAAAAAGAAACTGACCTGTCTTTGACACCTGACACCACTAAACCAGTGCTTGAACAAAATGCAACATCCCCCTTAATACCTGCACAGGACTTGATTGGGTAGCAATAGAGACCAGACACTTCTCCAACAAGCTCATAGACTTTCTTTTTCTTTTTCATAGTAAAGTACACAGACGCAGCTATTGCAGTCACAGCAGTGGCGGCTAGTGTTAAATACCGGCTGTTAGTAAAACTTGACCATTGCACCATGACTGTAGTTTGCTAGGACAAAATCTGTGGAATATATTTTAATTTACATTTAATAACTTATTAATATTAGTATTAGACTAATTTATTTAACTTTTAGAGCCTAAGTAATATAATTTAAAAAGAAAATCTGTAGGCCTAACTTTATTAAACGAAAACTAAATTAATGTTAGGCCTGTATTATTTGCTTTAAATTACTTGTAGTATGCACAATACCCACAACTGTGGCACAACAAAATAGTAAATGGGGACGATTTTAGATACCTATGTCCGATTAATAGATTCTTCCATAAAATAGGTGTTGGGTTGTTGGTAGTATTGTAATCTCGACTAATTTTATCATGGTAGGACCGACTAGGCCTAGGGTTTGGGTAAGGGACAGGTTTAGCATTGACATAAGCCAGCAATGTATATATTTTGTTAACTACCAGTAACCTCACCCTTTTTTAAAGATTCTATTATCGGACACTCAACTGGTATAATATAAAAATCCCCCCCCCCCAAAAAAAACAGTGGATCTAGAATCTAGACTAAAACAGATTTAGTTTAGTATTAAAAATCTAGAATTTATTGCTTGTTGATTTTGTTGTAGAATAAGATAGATAGGCTTGCTGACTGTCTTTCATGATATCACTCAGTGAGTGATGAGTGATGTGATCTCATTGACACTTCTGTCACTAGTGACTAAAAAAACACTGACTAGATCTAGAAGATCTAGATCTAGATCTAGTGAGTGAGTGACTAGTGACAGTAAAAATCAAAGTAAGACTGTTTATTTAATATTTAGCCTATACTTTAGGCCTATACTAAAATACTTTTGATATATTGTCCTAGTCAACCTCATTAACTATTTCCAGGGATTAAGTATATAGATTTAGAGATCTATTCTAATTCTAGAGTCTATAAGCTAGTGAGTGAGCGATAGTAAATAAAATATCATGTTGACATGTAGCCTACCACTGGCATATAAAAATGCGAATTAAAAATTTAGTAAATATAAAGAAGTAAAATTATTAAATCGCCTTTCCAAGTAAGAAAATTAAAACGATTGTATAATTTAATCTATAATTATAATTGTATACAATAAAACGTTAACATTTTCATTTATTATATTTATATTTGCCGAATGATGATTAAATGAATCAAACGAACAAATGATCTAGCTTAGTTTACCAGATCTATGCCCTAATATCAACACCCTCACCCCAATTTTAAAAACTACACTATCATAGGACCTACTAGTACTACAAAAATTATGACTTATGTAATGATATTTTGTAGATTTGTAGGTATAATACACAAAGGTCGCCTTTTGTGAAGGCACATGAACTGGAAGAATGGGGGTGAGGGTGAGGAGGGTCGAGCCCATGTACAGCAAATAGGTTAAACTGTTAAAAATATTGTCCTTCCTAACAAAATATTAATACTTTGCACCAGATTCTGATAGATAACTCTCAAGGGCTCATCCATAAAAGTTTAAACTTTAAAGCTTTTAGACCTGTTTTACTTCCTTAAGTTACACTTCATTACAAAACGCTCATGAAATGGTGTCCTTACCCCCCCCCCCCCCCATCTCTATAAATAAACATAGTGTTAATTAGAATTAACTTGTTCTTCACAATATTAATCCAAAAATGCCTTACCTTCTTACTAAACCAACGAGAACTTTTACACAGTCCAGTAGCTATGTTTGAAAAAAAAAACAACTTTTCACTAGTTGTATATTTTAAAAGTTTTTGAGTCTTGTCGCTGGGTCCGATTGACCTTTTCACCCGTGTAATCAAATATTAAACCAGCGAAAAAAATACCCAAGTAAGAAAATTAAAACGATTGTATAATTTAATCTATAATTATAATTGTACACAATAAAACGTTAACATTTTCATTTATAATATTTATATTTGCCGAATGATGATTAAATGAATCAAATGAACAAATGATCTAGCTTAGTTTACCAGATCTATGCCCTAATATCAACACCCTCACCCCAATTTTAAAAACTACGCTATATATAGGACCTACTAGTACTACAAAAATTATGTAATGATACTTTGTAGATTTGTAGGTATATACACAAAGGTCGCCTTTTGTGAAGGCACATGAACTGGAAGAATGGGGGTGAGGGTGAGGAGGGTCGAGCCCATGTACAGCAAATAGGTTAAACTGTTAAAAATATTGTCCTTCCTAACAAAATATTAATACTTTGCACCAGATTCTGATAGATAACTCTCAAGGGCTCATCCATAAAAGTTTATACTTTAAAGCTTTTAGACCTGTTTTACTTCCTTAAGTTACACTTCATTACAAAACGCTCATGAAATGGTGTCCTTACCCCCCCCCCCCCCATTTCTATAAATAAACATAGTGTTAATTAGAATTAACTTGTTCTTCACAATATTAATCCAAAAATGCCTTACCTTCTTACTAAACCAACGAGAACTTTTACACAGTCCAGTAGCTATGTTTGAAAAAAAAAACAACTTTTCACTAGTTGTATATTTTAAAAGTTTTTGAGTCTTGTCGCTGGGTCCGATTGACCTTTTCACCCGTGTAATCAAATATTAAACCAGCGAAAAAATACCCATAAAAATTAAATAGGCCTACCTATAATCTGGTGCTATTGTGTGTGTGTGTGTGTGTGTGTGGGTGTGAGTGTGTATGCGTAAATGTATAGATGGTATGAATATTTAATCAGATTTCTTATTCCGTCGAAGATTGGATATTAAACATAAAACATAAACAACTTCATAATATACTTACATGAAGGCCTACCTGTTCCCGTCTAGAGAGCTTCTACATAGTGCATCACTGCAGGTAAGATCTAGGACCTGCGCTGCGACAAGGACGTAGTAGCACTGTATCGTTTTCATGATGGTTGACTACAAGCCAATAGTAGGAACACCAGCTGCTGTGCTGCTTATTCGATCTGATCGGTCTCATTCATCCATGGTTACAATTGCCCATTAGACTTTCATTGTCTTTCATATGCCTCTTTGTCAGTCTACGGCACAAGTGCCTGGGCTTCGTTGTCGTGAAGATATATATATATATATATATATATATATATATATATATATATATATATATATATGATTTTAGTTCATGTATTTCCAGTCACTTGTACTACACACGGTACAGTTCTGAACTAATATATGTGTATACATATATATATATATATATATATATATATATATATAAAATATAATATATATATACATACATACATAATATATATATATATATATATATATATATATATATATATATATATATATATATATATATATATATATATATATATATATATATATATATATATAAAACGACACAACAGTTTATGAAATCTTTTACGTTTACAAATTAGCGCATTACTAATGCGAAATATTTTGTGTGCGATTGTTTTTTTTCTGTGGGCAGTTTTCTATAAGCGGGTTTTTCTTTTGCTCATTTTGTGTGAGAAACTTCTGTTTGAGATTTAAATTGTTATTGCTATGCCCCAATGGTGTGTGGCTTAATTAATTCATATAATAAAGTAATAGTATATCGTTAAAAGACGAATCGACGTTGACAGACAAGATTTAAAAGTTACCTTTTAAAAATATTCTCTTCTGAGTGTGACTTCTACTTAAACTTTTAAAAATATTCTTCTCTGTATTTAAAAAAATACATACAATATGCTTCTGGGGTCCAAAGATAACCGGAAGTTTTAGAATCCCTGGTGCAGAAGGGGGGGGGTTGTTATTCATAAGATTACACATGCGCTGTATTGAATTACAGCATGTCTCTGAGAAAAATGGGAAGCCAAGGTAATGCAACATTCATTAGATGTAAGGAAATAAAAGGGCTCTCTCTCTCTCTCGGCTAGCCCCCCCCCCCCCAACAAGAACTGTAATCAAAATCAAAACCTCCACGTCTTCAGTGTGTTCTTTAAAAAAAAATTTTTTGATGGGAAATAATAAAAAAAAAACTATCTTGTGTTATCGCCCCTTTTAAGTTGTTCGTCGTCCATGGCAAATTAAAAAATAGAAAGTAAAAGGTTATATTAGGTAAAGTTGAAGCTCATGAACTGAAGCTAAATCAAACCACAATATACATCTATGTGGGCTAGAACTTTTTTCTTTGGTAACTTTCTTGTCGTATATTTTGTATCGTGCAAGACAAAGAACACAAGAAACAGTATTTCAGCGTGGTTTTTAATTATTAATAAACTGCGAACTTGTTTAATTTTAAATGCATAAAAAGAGCTACAGGCTATACAATCTGTGGAAAAAAGCCAAAATGTGATTAAATTTTGAGAAAATTGCTTAGTATGCCAAGTTGAAGTTTTAATGTAGAGAAACAAATTCAGATGCCAAATAAGGAACACAATTTGGTATGTAGTAAAATTTAGTAAAAACTATTATAAGGTTTTAAAAAAATAAAGGAATAAAAGATATCAAACAATTCATGTGCGAGTTGAATGTGTTCAAGTATATATACATATTTAATTCAGTAATAAATTACAAATGAAATAATTAAAAGATAATTACAGCAACAACACAAGAATTTGTGAAATGGTTGGACACACGACTGTGTGTTTCCACGTGTGTCAATGGTGTGTCACTGGTAACACGTGACAGATTAGTTCATCAATATTGAGCAAGTCTAGTCAAAATTTTGACTCTAATAGACATACAAGATAAGTTCAAAGACAAACGTGTTTAAAATTAACCATGTGTCAAGAACAGTGACAACATTGTGTGAGTGAAATATAACTGAATGTATTTTTATTTAAAGAAATAAAAAGTTGAAAACTATAAAAGTGACTAAAAGGGTAGATTCTAAACTACTTGCTATATAATGTTTATTTCAAGGGGCATAACTCACATTGATCATCACACAGTGAAGGTTTCAAGACCGACAACACAACTGCAAACAAAATACTTCCCAAGTTCTTTAAGATTTCACGCATAGTGAACAATATTACGCTGTAAAACCTTTCAGTTTTTTGATTAATATTTATTTACGATCAGCAATGTTCAATAAAAGAACAAATACTGCACTTACAATTCCGGAACTAACCTAATCTGTTTTTAAGAACTTTAACGATGAAGTATTTCCCCTCACATAAAGACTTTGAATGTGTGATGTGTAAGTGATCTAGCTTAGGCAAAATGATCTATGTTTCTAAATGTTTTTCCTTTTTAAAAAAAAAATGTTTTTCCTTCCCATAGTATATAATCACATACATGACATCATGTAAATTTTCATTATGTACATTTGCGAAACCTTTCGTTTTCATTTGATGTTCGAAATTATGTTAAGAATTTGATGTTGATGAACTTGTTTTAAATTGCAAATAAAAGTAGTTTAAGAAAAAATTCCTAAATGTTATACCACCGTTTTATTAAGTTTCCTAAAAGTATATTGAATATAGACTGCAGTGGTTCGTTATAAAGTGTTCCGATTTTTAAAAATAACGTCGTATAACGAGGTGTGTGTAAAGAGTGTAGAACTACGACTCAAACATGGTGTTATGAAAATTGTGGGTTTCTTTCGTTTAACCGTACCCTTATATTAGTAAATCTTACAAGCAGACATTAAAGTCTAGAGCTAGTTTTAAAGGATAGTGCTCATGATATGTTTCAAGCGGGTGTAACATATTCTACGACGTTAGCTGTACGGTATGGCTAATCGACATACACCTTATGTTATGTGGTGCTGCTAAATGGTAACTGAAAGACACTGATGAAAGCTAATTAAAATGGAAGGTTTTTTTCACCTAGAATCACCTCTAAGTAAGTCACGTGACAGTTGATGGTACATTCACACTAGCTCGATCAACATCTACTTAAGTCAAGTGACAGTTGATGGTACATTCACACTAGCTCGATCAACATCTACTTAAGTCACGTGACAATTAAATGGTACATTCACACTAACTCAA